CAGGGGGAGCGGCAGGCAGAGGGAGAAGCAGGCTCCCAGCTGAGCAAAGAGCCGGATGCAGACTCGATCCCAGAACCCTGGGATCATGAGCCGAGCCAAAGGCAGATGCACAACCAACTGAGCCACCCAGGTGATTTTTTCTAACATACTCATATATTAACTGTATACTAATACAAATAACTAACTTTTTAAAAGTAATCTCTATATCCAACGTGGGGTCTTCAACCCCAAGATCAAGAGTCACATGCTCTACCGACTGAGCCAGCCGGGCGCCCCTACATAACTTCTTACACCTCAGTAAATAAATCTCTGTCCACATTCTGCATCCTCTTCTGAAACAGAATTACTAGGTCAAAAGGAAGAAATCCTCTAAGGTTCTCAGATACCAAATGCCTTATTAAAAAAAATGCGTACACATTTCTATTCCCCTCAGTGGGGCACTAAAGTATCCACCTGACCAGGTCCTCACCAGCACTGAGCAGTCTCAAATTTCAAAATGCTCTACCCTACAGCTTTTCTACACTTGTGTGTGCATTGAGCAAACATAGATGACAGGAAAACAGTGATGGAACACTAAAACCCCTTTTCTCTACTCAGCTTATCCTTATCACTGAGGGCTAGTCTCAAGGCCCTGGAAAGACTAAAAGGCAAGGATCCCTTCCTAAACACCCAGAGAGCTAAACCTCACCTCTTCACCTTCATCCTCGTCCTCCAAGTCAGAGTCAGCACCATAGTCATCTATCATATCGGCATCACTGTCCTCGGGGCCCCAGAGGTCTCCCTGGTTCAGCACACCATCCTCTTCAGAGTCTTCCTCCTCCCCTTCCTCCTCGCTGCTATGGGCTGGTGCTGGACGCTTCTTGCCTTGAGTAGCATGAAATAAGGACTGGGCTCCCATCTTTCTGGGGGTCTGGACAGCTCCTCCAGAGATTCCTAAGGGTTTGAAGAATTCTGGACTGATGGCAGCCACACACCAATGGAGCCTGCACTTTCTACCCTTAAAAATGTCCTCTGGCTGTTTCTTTCACTCCAGAATGCTCAGCAAGCCCTTCCCTACCCAGCACACAGAGGACTCCTCATGTAGCATACAGCTCCTATATTCACTGACCTTTGGGTAGCTTTCCAGGCAATGGTTTGGCCCCAGGGAACTTCTGCATCTCAAGGGCTTCAGCAGAACCCAACTTCCTCTTGGCTGCCCTGAAAAGATATAAGGAGGGAGGAAATGGAACATACCTCTAATGTTCTGCCACAAAAATGGGACGGTCCCCAAACAGCCCTTCCCATCAGTATGAGCACATGTGATTATGTGACTAAAGACGAGCAATACCAATTTAATCTACGTAAGCCTGGACATCGACACTCACCTTTTTCGAGCACGACTAGACAACCTCTTAGAATTTTCATCACCAGCTGTATTTAAAAAAAAAAGAGAAACAGAATAGTATGTCACAGGGAAAATGAAAAAGAACATTAGAAGACAAAATAAAAGTAGGGAAAGAATATACTAATTAAAGGGGATAGATTGTAACTCGCTCCACAGAGTTTTATGAGAAGCTGGATGGGAGATGTAAAGGAGATGATCTTTATGTGGTTGTTCATCAACCAAATCCAAACTGGGCCTCCCTCCAGACTTCTGATTTCAATAAATAGCATTACCACAATCTTGATAACAAGAGATATTCAAAATTCATCTTTTCTCTCTGGCTTTGGACCTGGTTTGTGGCAACATGGCTAAACCCACCCTCAGGAAAATAGTGAAGAAAACTGAAATAAGCCAGCATGCCACATACACTTGCTCCCTCTGTGGCAAAACCAAAATGCAGACCGAGCTATGGTGGGGCGCCTGGGTGGCTGGCTCAGTCGGCTGGGCATCTGACTCTTGATTTTGGATCAGGTAGTGATCTCGGGGTCATGGGTCATGCACTGGGCTCCACACACTCAGCAGGGAGTCTGCTTGAGGATTCTCTCTGTCCCTCTCCTTCTGCTCCTCCCCCTGCTTGCACTCTCTCTAAAATAAATACCAAAAAATCTTAAAAAAAAAGAAGGACGACAACTGAGCTACAGGGATATGGCACTGTGGATTCTGCATAAAAACAGTAGCCAGCAGTGCTTGGACCTACACCACCACTTCTGCAGACTGAAGGAATTGAAAGACCAGCAGAAGCTCCACCATTGCAAACACTGCTAGTCTATAATAAATGGATTTATGTAACAAAATTGTCTTTTCTTTTGCTTTCCTTTACTCTCAATTTAATCAGTAACCAACCACAGATTTTACCTTTGTAACTGTGGTTTTCTATACATTCTCCAATAAATAAAAGGCTTATTAAATCTCAGCCCTGTCACTTACATGGCCAAGTTGCTTAACCTCTCAGCATTCATCTCCTTAACAATGTCTCTCACAGAGCACTAAGAAAATGAGGTAACATACTGTGTCCAAAGGATTCAGTATAATGCCTAACATTTTGTTAAAAGACTTATTCATTTTAGAGGGAGACAGAGAGAGAGAGCGGGCGCACACAAGCAGGGGGAGGGGCAGAGGGAGAGAAAGAATCCTCAAAGCAGACTCCCCGATGAGTGCAGAGCCTCATGCAGGGCTTGATCCCACAACCCCGAGATCATGACCCGAGTGGACATCAAGAGTTCGACGCTTAACCCACTGAACTACCAGGCACCCAGTGCCTAGCAAGCACTTTCTAATACCTCAAAAACCTGCATCTTTTAACTAATGCCCAACACAAACTACCTGTCCACTCTTCTCTCCCACCCAGCCTTCCATGCAGACTATTAACCATATGGAAACGAGATCTGTGCCTTCCCATGCCCCCTCCTCCACAATGTAGGTGATGGTGACTGGTCTGTTCCCTTCCCAAATTCCACTTACTAAAATGTCAACCATTTTCCAAAACCCAGATTAAAATCTTTTTTAACTTGGGCCCCTGGGTGGCTCAGTCAGTTAAGTGTCTGCCTTCAGCTCAGGTCATGATCCCAGGGTCCTGGGATCGAGCACTGAATGGGGCTCCCTGCGCAGTGGGAGTCTGCTTCTCACTCTGCCCCTCCTCCTGCTTGTGCTCTCTCGCTTGCTCTCTCTAATAAGTAAAATCTTAAGAAAACAAAAAACTTTTTAAACTCTGTGTAGGTCCTCTAATAATCTCCCTCAGTGTTAAACTACACCTCTCTTTGCATGGATATTTGGATCTCTGCTGCACTGTCCCTAATTTCTAAGTGCTGATGACAGTGAGTGTTTCATTCATACTTTCTTTTAAATTTTTTTTTTTTTTTGAGAGACAGAATGGGGGTTGGGTGGGTAGAGGAAGAGAGAATCTTAAGCAGACTCCCTACGGAGCAGGGAGCGAGACAGGGGCTCAATCACAGGACCTGAGGTGAAATCAAAAGTGGGATGCTTAACGGACTGAGCCACCGAGGCGCCCCCATTCCTACTTACTTTCTAATAACTCATACAATATACTCTGGTTTCTCCTCAAATGTATAAATCTAATAACTCATTCAAAGAAAATTCCGCTCCAAAAGAGAGTGAATACAGAGACTAAAAACGGAGGAGCATGTGACACAGATTTAAGAATGGTGCAAAACCTGGGTAACTGAGGGGGAGGACACGCCTAACCCTTACCTGCAGGCAAGAACCTTGCGAGTTCGGTCTCAGCACCCTTCTGTTTCCGGGCCTTACGGCCTGGCCCGCGCTTCTCCTTCTTCGTAGGGTCCAACTTGCGCCCCATAGCACTGGAGAAAAGAAAAATGGGAGAGGGTGGAGTCGCGCGTGTTGGAAAGGGAAACGGAGACCGCAGACTTAGCGTATTAGAGTGGGAAAGAGGACCGCCTCGAACCTCGACTCAGCAACCCCTCATGGCATGACCAAACCTCCATTCCACGCTCGACCCAGCCCTTGGATCCCACGCCATTTGTACTGCGTCCCCCTCCCAACGCCCCAGTCTGCATCGATGCAGTCAACCTTCCCCGACTTCTTCCACACCCACCCGAAGCCTCGGCTCACCTGAAAAAGGGTCCAGGCACGAGAGACCTCCTCGGTAAGCGGCGCGGCACTCCACGTGCACGCCGAGGCTAAGGTTCGGACACCACACTCCAAGCAAACGTTTCACGCAGGCGCACAGAGGCGCCCTCGCCTCGCGGCCCCGCCTCTTCCGGTCCCTTCTAATCGCCCGCAAACCCGGAACGGACGCTCGCCGGGAACGCGCGCGGGACTGGCGGCGGGGGTGCCGGAGGCAATTCGACGGCGGACCGCTTCACTCACTCCCCGAGGGCGGAGAGAGCAAACAGGACGGAACCGTTTTCAACTTCCCCGCCCTTCCCGCAAAGCGTTTGGCTTCTTGCCTCACTGCGGACTTCAGTGGGATAAACTGGTACCTAGGATCCGCGGCCCTCCGTCTGGCACTCTCCACCCTAAATCTAGTCCCAAGATCATGGAATCCCATGCCATTCACCTCCTCCCAACCCTTTCATTAGGAAACCCGCTTCTTCGACCCTACCGACCCCTGCTCAGCCCATCAAGTAAGGTCTCTGCCTGGCTTCACAGGCGTAGAGGCCGGAGGAAGACCTCTTGTGTCCTAATTTCACACAAGTTAAAAAACTTCAGCCTTCCTTCGAATAAACACTAAGGCGGTGCTTAGTAGCTGTTAAAGACCTTTCCAAGTACTTTTCTAGTTTTATCTTCTCAACTCTATGCAGAAGATATCTTTATTTTATGAGAAATCTACAGCCCAGATAAGTTGACTTCCTCAGATCACAAAGCCATTAAACAGTGGTACCGGGTATGAACCCAGGTGTAGTTTTGGAGCCCCTCATTTTCCAGGGGGCGGTCATCCTTGGTCCCGAGCACAGAAGGCACAGGCACACAGAACATGGCTCTTCTGTAGGATCCGGCACACAAGTTAACCCCTTCGTTTTCAGGTAACACATTTCCCAGAGCTGCTGTCCATACACACTCATCCACCTGCACCTACACCCACACTGAACCAGAGCACTAAAATACAAGGAAACTTTTATTTTCAATTTTCATCAAGAAATTTGCTGTGGTTTTTTATGCTTTTGGTTCTTTTCCTTTTTTTTTTTTTTTTTTCCACTTTATTTCATTCTAGCTGCTCAGTGGCTGGAGCCGCTGGGTTCCTGGTATTAAAAAGATGCCAACAGAGGTAGCTGTGTCTCGCCCAGGGGCCCGGCCCACTCTGAATACCCCAAAAAAGGAGAAAAGAAAACACAAAATAAACCAACAAAATAAAACCAAAAGGAGGAAGAAATTCAGATCATTTTCTTCAAGCCTGGCGGGAACCCACAACAGTTTGTGTGTAACAGGCGTTACAGTGGGGAGAAGCCAGGGCCCAGAAGAAGGCCAGCCCGCCAGCTCCCTGCAGACGGCGCCGGCGCTACTGCTGCATGTCTCTCCAGCAGGAAGGGCACCACTGCCCCTCGCTCCCTCCCCTTCCCCAGTGCACGGGGGCTGTTCCTTTACAACACGGAAGATGGGGCAGAAGGAAGGAGAGGGTCTCTCAGGCCCCCAGGGGAGAAGCTGGGCAAGGGAAAGTGAGGAAGGTCACTGCTCAGCGGTGGAGGTGGTATCATCGATCCGGGTCTTCACTGCTGCTGGGCTACCTGGAACAAAAGAGAGCCAAGGGAGTCAGAATCCCAAACCATGGGAAACTACCCAATCCCAAGGGAACTCCCTGGTAAGAGCCCCAATCTGCCCAGTATATGAAACTAGGGGTAGAGAGCAAAGTCACGAGTTCCAGAATGGCTCTGCTGAAAGAGCTGGCCGGAAGAAAAGGGTCTACCTGCTGTGGAGTAGGTTCAGGTGCTCGGTTTGCCAGGCGGCTGAGAATGTTGCGCTCTGACATCTGTAACCTCACAGCAACCGGGGGAATCCGGGCAATAGTGGCTGGGAGCCGGGTTACGTCGGCTTTCATGTCACTCAGCAGTTCTTCTAGCTGTTTCAGAACTGCACAGAGGGAAAAAACAGGCGGTGAGCTGTGGTGGTCAAGACTGAGATCCTTCTGGGGCGCCTGGGTGGCTCAGTCGTTAAGCGTCTGCCTTCGGCTTAGGTCATGATCCCAGGGTCCTAGGATGGAGCCCCACATCGGGCTCCCTGCTCAGCGGGAAGCCTGCTTCTCACTCTCCCGCTCCCCCTGCTTGTGTTCCCTCTCTCAAATAAATAAATAAAATCTTTTAAAAAAAAAGACTGAGATCCTTCTTACCGCAGTGAACCCGGCCCCTCGTTTATTCTCAGTGACCAAGCAAGTGATGTGCTGGAGTGCTGGGTATTGTTTTAGTCACTGAGTCGCCTGACCCACCTCGGCCACACTCGTTCCTATTCCTCATATTGCAGTTCCAACTGTCCATGATGCTATGCATTTTTACATCCCCTAACCCTCACTGTACCTTGCTCCCTCTTGTCTCTTATTTTCTCCACTCCCTGAGAGAAGATTTCTGTTTCCTTTTCTCACCATCTTGGCTTTCGGAGCTGTCTTCTCCTTCCTTTGAACCAGCCTCCTTTTCCTCATTTCACCCTCCACCCCCCTCATCATGTTTTAACTTTAATTAGAAATGCTGAAAGGGGTCTAGAATTTGACGGGATCTTAATTCACCAGAAGTTAACTCTACAATATCCCAGATAACACTGTATTATTCTGCTTTCCTTTCCACCTCCGAGAACTTGAATATATTGAGTTAAAAGAGGCAAAGAACTACTGTCCTCGATTGCCTCTAAGATATTAGCTTTCCGAGGAAGAAAGCAAAGATCCCCAGCACATCCTAAGCGCCCAGACAGAGGGGCTCTGAAAAAGGTCTGGAAACCAGCAGTAACTATGTGTTTGGGCGGGGGGTAGGGGGGTAGCGGAAAAAGGCTGAGTCAGCAGGAGGCAGGGGAGCCACTGGCTACCTTTGTGCAGGACCGCATTGGCAGGCTTGTTTCCGGCCATTGACTCCTTGGACAGGTGCTGGTGACTCTCTGCCAAACACTCCACTTCAGCAAAGCGCGTGTTTAGGGCCATGGAAGGGTGAGAGGGGTCCTCTGACATGTTTAGGTAAGCTGCCCGGCGCAGCTGTTCCTCAATCACCAGGGCTTGTTCTAAGAGCTGGAGAACGATAAAGAGGAGAGGGGAGCTGCACGGACACCAGCTTTGCTTATTTCTGATGGGTCTCTCCCAATCGATAAAAAACCTTACAGACGGCTCCCCCACACCCAAGCCCTTCAACATCACGTTACTTTGTTTACTCCCATTTGGAAGTTCATATTTCTAAAACTCTTTGCCCTTTATGGATTCGCTTATACAAAAATGATTAAAAATTCAGTCCAGAAAATAGATCGTATAAAAAATTATCACAAGTAACTGCACCTCCCAGAGATACTGTTAACATGTTGAGGTTTTTCCTTGCATATGTATTTCTTAAGTAGCTGAGGTCACTCTATATACCTGTTGTGTTTTCACTCAAAGTTCCATGGCAAAAACCTTCATTATAACTGCCCTTCATAAATGATTTTTAATGGTTGCGTGGTAGTCCGTCCTATGGCTATACCTACCACATCGTATTACTTAAGTTGTTTTACTTTTTAAAAGTATTTGTTGTTTCTTTTATCTCCGTATCTCACTCCCGTTCCTTTCTGTCCCCAACAGGCAATGCTTCTACTATACTTACTGCGTGGCTTTGTGCAGGTGTTCTTGAAGACTGAGTTTTGTTTCATGTGCACATTTCTTATTTATAGAATGTTGTTCTGTACACATAAAAAGCCTTTTATCCCTTTCCCCACTTCAGATCTTTTCAAAACGTTCAATTTATGTTGTTCTAACACATCTATTTCGTTCCTTCTAACTGTTGCTTAAAATGCTCCATGATGTGAATCCACATTTTACCTATCCACACTCCCAGTCAATGTCCCAGGCAAACAGCTAGGTTACTTCCGGGCCCCACCCCAAAAAATCATACTGCAATGAACACTTACACAAGTCACCTGACGGAGCTATGTAAAAGGTTCTTTGCAATATATTCCAAGAGACAGAATGTTGATTCAGAAGTTATAAGACTTAATTTGCTCAAGTATCCATCCACTGGTTCTTAAAGACAATAAAGCCATTAGGGGTCAGGAAACAGGACAGTATGAGAATAATGGGCTGTTGTTTCTTCCACAAGACATGCTCCATCGAGCAGAGTAATTTATCCCCAGACTGACCAAGCATCTACTTTCAATCTACATACCGTGTGTCTCCTTCACTGCCTCCTCCTGTCCCAAACTATGAGCTTTCTCCAGGATCATCGGCCCTCGGCTTGCTGCTGTTCTTTTAAAGAACTCCCTTAAGTGATTTCTCCTCTCCCAGTTCAGCCAGCCCCTCCGTGCAAAGGGATCTGATGCTTTTCAAACCTGCATTTCAAGCACTGAGTGTTCTGATTCCATTCATGTGTGGTTGATCACTCTTTGATCCCACTTGTTTATGGTGTGAGGGGTAGGTAGTGGGAGGATATTAGTTAGGACTTTTCTAAAATTGAACTTACTCTTTCTATAAACTGCTCCCTCTCTTCACCTCCCTGATCTGTCAATGGTAATTTTTCTCAGTGACTCGGGCTCAAAACTTTAGTTTTATATCTCAAATCCATTAAGTCAAGAGTCAGCAAACTGTGTTTTTGTATGGCCCAAGAGCTAAGAATGGTATTTTTACATTTTTAAATGGTTGGAAAAAAATCAAAATAGCTTGTGACACTTTATAAAAAATACATGTTCAAATTTTCCTATCAACAAATAAAGTTTTATTGGAACACATTCATACTTCTTCGTTTAGAACCTGTGGCTGCTTGCACACTATGACAGTATTTGCAACATGTGTCCCACAAGGCCTGAAATAGTTATTATCGGGCCCTTTAACAGAACAGACTTGCTGGCTCTACAATAAAGCAGTAAATCCTATCAATTATTTGGTCTCTTGTCTCCCTTTACCTTATCCTTTTCATTTCCTACAACCAGCATCACAGCCCAGCCCTTACTACCTCCTGACCATCGGACAGTTCTATAATCTCATGAGTGTTCGGTTTCCATTTCTCCTGTCGTATTAAAACTCTTCATGAACCTTCAATGGCTGCCCGTTAACTATAGGGTAAAGTCCAAACTCTTATCTGGTGCCAAAAACCCACCTACTAACCTCTAGCCCTTACCTCACTCTCTAATCTACCTCCCACTATCACCCAACACAAATGTTTTCTACAGCTCAACTGCAGAAACTACTTGCTGCCTCCAAACACCATAAGCTCTGCTGCCCCTAGGCCTTTGCCCTCCTTAATCCCGTTGGTTCAAACAACCTTCTGCTTCTATCCAGCTATCTCTAGGACATTCATCAAAACTTCATTCCAATACCATCTTCTCCATGAAGCCGTCCAGGAGCTCTCTGGGCTCCCCAAATTCCCCCGGAGAACTTCCTTATGGATCTCTCCCAATACACAGAGTGGCATTCATTTGATCACACATTTGCCTCTACCTTAAACCAAAAGCTCCTTGAGAACAGGCACCATGCCTTATTTGTCTTTGTATCCTCGTGCTACTCCCCATTGCTTGGCACATGATGTTTAAAGGTTCACTAGTGTACATTTCTTTTCCCCCAATGATACTCAGTTTAAAACTCACATGTTTCGTCTTCGTGGTATCCCATTTGGTGGTCTGCACACAGTTGCCCTCAACATACATCTGCTGAATTCCAGACTGAGACTCCCCTCAGTCCTGGGTTTACTAACCCTAGCGATTCTGAGAATGAACTCTACCTTTGCATCTCCTCTCTGCAACCACCCTACCCCTTATCCACACGGGGCTCTCAAACCCACTGACAGCCCTCCCTCTTCAGAAGTCCAATTTAATCCCACCTCTGTATCTTTCCTGAATACTCTAACCTACAGTGGTCCCCTGACACATCCACTGCACGTCTGTGTCATTTATTAGTTTTCATTTATTTATTTTTAAGTAGGCTCCATGCCCAATGTGGGGCTCGAACTCACAACCCTGAGATCAAGAGTCGCATGCTTTACTGAGCCAGCCAGGTACCCCTTCATCTGTGTCATTTATCAGGCATGGTCATCTTCCGACTTGAAGAGCTGGTTAATTTTCAAGTCTGTATGTCTTGATTTCTTTTTAATTTTTTTTTATTTATTTACGTAATCTCTACCCCCAACACGGGGCTCCAACTCACAACCCTGAGATCAAGGGTTGCATGTTCTCCAGACTGAGCCAGCCAGGCGCCCCTGTTAAGTCTTGATTTCTAGTATTTAAGATACTTGGGAGCACAACGTTTCACAGAATACAAAGAGTTAAGCCAAGTACACTGGAAAATATACTAGACAGTAAGTCTGCACGACCAGACTCCCTCCTCTCTAGTCCCTTCTGCATTTCAAAGACTGTCACTTCAACATCATATTCCTCCTCATCCTGCTCACCTTGAACCTTCGGGCTAGAAATTTATTCTTGATCTCTAAGAAATTGCCACGATTCATTTCACCCTTGAAAGGTTCATTGAGGATGGCATAGCGTGGGTCATTCTGGATGTCCTGCCACCGGGCATAGCCATGGCTTTTGGAAAACTGTTCAGGAAAAACAAAACAAGGAAAAGTAGGAACCTCACACAGTGAGACCTTTAGAACCCTTCACCGAGAACCTCAGCCTAGACTCAGGCAAAGGATACTTTATGATGCCAGCCAGCAGCCAGTAGTCATGCCGCCGATGCCAGATCTCGTAAGTCTTCTTGGTGACAGTGGCTGCCCGCTCCTCATTCTGCCAAAGGGAGTGCAACTCTGAAGAGGAATTTGGGGAAGGTTGAGGAGAAAAAGAAAGGCAAATATCTGTAAGAATGCAAAAAGCTATTTATTCCTGCCCCCACAGATGCCATCTTAGGAGTACACCTCTGGCTTTCCAACAGAGGCAGAGGAAGGTGCAATCGACTCAGCAGTCCCTCATCTGGTAGAGGTGAAGTCTTTGTACCCTTGCTTCTGACTAGAACCCTAATTTCACTTCAGATCCTTCTAACCCCAGTTGGTCCCTCATTGTCATACCGGTAAAACCACCATCCGCGATGTTGAACATGAAACGCTGTTTAATATTTTTTTTCTGCTTCTCATCATTCAGGTCCTTAGGGGTCTCTCCATTCTGAAGCATCACCTCCTTTTTCTCTTCTTCTTCTTTCTTCTCTTCTATAGGACATGCAGAAAAAAAAAATGTCAGCTCCAGGCAGAAGCATAGCACCTTGGCCCTTACCCACAGCATTCTATGCTCTAAGTATCCAGCCACCTCCACCCTTTCTCCACACAGGTATTTCTCAAAGCTGGAAAAAGGTGCCACTGGCCCATAATAATCATATGCAGGGACAGATGAAGTCTTTTAGCTTGGGATAAAGTAACTATCTGGGTGTGGATGGGGAGAAGCCAGCAGGGTGTCCCAGAAATAAAGCCCTTGCATGTAGTTTTAGAGTCCTTTACAATCACAATCAGCTTTCTCCAAACACTCACCTTTGTCCTCTACCACAATGGGGGTCAGATCTACTGCTGACTTCTCCTCTACCTTCTCCACGTCAGCAACACCTGGGGGGGGAACAGATGGCATTGAGAGTGTATAAAGAAGAAGGTTCTGGGGTGTCTGGCTGGCTCAGTCGGTACAGAGCATGCAACTCTTGATCTTGGGGTTGTGAGTTCGAGCCCCATGATGGGTACAGAGGTTACTTAAAAATAAAATCTTTAAAAAAAAAAAAAAGGAAAAAAAGAAGGATGTTCTCCTCTGTCCCACACCATAGCCAACCAGAACAGTCTTAACCCTACATCAATGATTAATGTCATAAAAGATGTCTTAAGGGGTTAAAAACCCTCAAGTTAAAATCAAGGGTCCAGGATTCTCCAGTGTGTCCCTTCCTCCTGATATGTCCTTAGCCCAGCTAGAAGTCCAAGAGCTTCACAGGGATCTGGATGTAATAACTTGAAAATGTGGATACCTTTGGGCTCTGTCTCCATCGGTTCCTCTGTTCTCTCCTTCACCTCTGCCTTTTCCACTTTCTCCTCTCCCTCGGGAGGTTCAACAAGGACTTTTTCGTCCTCTGAGGCAGGGGCAGGGGTTTGTGTACACTTCAAAGGAAAAAATACAGAAGCTGAGGCAGATAGACCAACAACCGAAAGGATGAGTGGGCTTATCCATTTATCTTCGGTATGGCATCCAGTCACTCCCCCAGCTCTTACCTCAACGGTGGCCTCGGGGGCTGCAGACTTAACCTCCTTTTCTCCTTCTGCACTCTCTTCCTCTTTAAGGCTATTCTCCTCTATTTTTATCCCATCCTCTGCAGATCAATAGAAGTCAATTAATTAGGAAGAAGGTTCGAGATCAGAGAGAAGGTCACGCCTTCTCAGTTGGTCTCATCTTTAATTGTCCTCTCGTGCCTTTAAGAGCCAGCCCTATTCTTAGGACGGCTCTCCTAAACTGAGAGGGAGATTGCTGTGTGTCCTGCCAGACTCCCCTGTCAGAGCTGAGCACAAGAGAGCAGAAAAAGCACTGGCAAGGACAGAAAAGGACAGTACAGGCAGACTTACCAGCAGGTGGGGCAGGTGCAGGGGTATTGGGTTGTGTGTCCCCTGGAGTGGAGGGTGTAGGAGTCTTTGGGGAAGGTGACCCTGGCTGAGACATTTTCTTGTTTTCTTCTACTTCAGCAAGTTCAGGCATGCTCCAGCGCCCATTGACATGTTCAAACTCCTGAACCTGTAGCAATGGGGACAAGAAAGTGAAGATCCAATTCCAGCTCTAGGCTCCTTTCCTGTTGGCCCTCTAGTTTCCCCTAGAAACTCTGAACAATGCAGAGGGGCTCACCTTCTTTCGAATCAAGGACATGACACCAATCCTAGTAAGGACATGCTGGCGAGACAGGCCTTCTCGGGGGACACCATCAGCAAAGGTCTCAGCCCCATCTGCTCCTGGCTCACATAAATGTCGCATGAAAAGAGATACATAAGCCCTGTAGTAAAGAAGTGAGAAATGAGTTAAACAGCAATAAGGCCAACTCCTAGATGAGATCTTTCCCACTTATCCTAGACAATAACTCTGGCTCCATCTTGACATAAAGCCCGCCATCACACTGAAGGCCAGTTCTCCAGACCCCACACCACGCCCTGGGTTCTCCTCCAGGGAAGCTAGGAACACAAAGAACCCTATTACTAACGGCTACACCTGCCAACTTCAACAGAGAAACTGCCAATCTCTGCACAGCCTGGACTAGTACCGTGGAATGACCACAGATCAAAAGCTCTTGCTTGGGGGGCCTGGGTAGCTCAGTCAGTTAAGCATCTGCCTTCAGTTCAGGTCATGATCCCAGGGTCCTGGGATTGAGCCCCGCTGAGGCCCGCATCAGGCTCCTTGCTCTCTCTCGCTATCTCTGTCGTTATCTCTGTCTCTCTCTCAAATAAATAAAATCTCAAAAAAATAAAAAGAATAAAAAAAAATAAAAGCTCTTGCTCTACATCAGTCATTCCGGCTCTCAACTTACTTGAACTCTTTCTCTGATTTGCCTCGCAGATCTCTCACAAGCCACTGGGTGGTAAAAGCATCCTGAGGTGGCATCCCATATCGCATAATTGCATTAAGAAAGGCTTTTCGCTGACGAGCATTAAAGCCAAGTACCTAGAGAAAGAAGGCGCCTAGGTGAGAGGGAGCAGGCCTTACTCCATCAAAGACCAAATATCTAGCACTCACCCACCCCCTCCCTAGACTTATATGACACTTACTTCAATATTCCCACCAACACGGGCCAACAGAGGAGGCAATGGCTTATCTTTATCATTCCGCAGGCCCTTACGACTGGGCCTGCGGGGAGCTGTAAGAAGAGAAGGATACATGAGTGACACTGGTAGGGGTGTTAATCAAAGCGATATTTAAAAAGCTAGCAGAAAGGCATAGCTCTCACCTTCTGAGCGTTCATCAAAGTCTTCATCACCTTCCTCTGAGGCCACTGAATAATCGGACTGGTTGTCGGACTGGTCGTCCTGCCAATCTGGAGGGAGAGAGGGCAGATGAGCGGGGCCCACTGCTCTAGTGGAACGGCCCATGGGTGGGGGGCGGGGCCGGCCACACACACCTCGGTCCTCCTGGGAGCCATCATTGTAGTTGACCTGTTTACGGATTCTTTTTCCTTTGCCCAGATTTCGGGCTAGATCTTCTTGCTGCTGCTCATAATGGTGCCGCAGCAATTTCTCCCAGTAGTCAGGATCCACACTTTCTTCCTGTTTTATGATTTCTCGTTCTACCTCCTCTTCCTCCTGGGACAGAGGGAGGGCCAGGACTCAGGGGTGCTGAAGTCAGCACCACCAGCTACCCCTGGTCCTCACAGTTCCCATTCTGCTAGCTCCTTTTCAGGACTGGACTCTGACATACTTAGTGTGCCTGCTTGGACCTAAGAACTTAAAAAGAAATTTAATTGACAAGACACGGGTCCTCATAATTACATACAGATTAGCAGTCAACATAACTAAAGAAAAACATGGGATGACACTGTTATCACAAAAGAATGAAGAGACAGTTTGCTTTCTTCTAACCCCTTTGACTGACACCTATACCGCTGGGAGACAGCAAAATGTAGAAAAGAGAGGTTAGATAGCAAGGCAGAACGGAAGGGCTTCTGAAATGCTGCAAAAGATTTCTTAAGACATAAAGTAGAAGGGCCATAAGCTCTTCTGTTCATTACTTCATAAAAGTTTGCCAACTATGTGCAAAAAAACAAAGCAAAAAACCCAAACAAATTATACATACATATCCTATGTCCCAGTAATGTTTATGCTCCTCTGAAATTCTTGTATTTTTTTCAAACACTTCAGGATCAGTAATTGATTCCAAATCCCTCACATTAGAACTAAACCACTACTAACAGCATAGTAACAGAAACAACCTAAATGCCCATCATTATGGAACTAACCGAACAAATTCCTGGTGGTGGGGAGTGGGCAAAATGGGTAAAGAGGGTCAAAAGGTACAAACTTCCAGTTATAAACAAGTCCTGGGGATGCATTGCACAGCCTGGTGACTACAGTTAATAACACTGTATTACATACTGGAAAGTTACTCAAAGTGGTTTTTTTGTTTGTTTGTTTACTTGAGAGAGAGAGAATGCACACATATGAGCAGAGGGAGAAGTAGGCTCCCCACTGAACAGGGAGCCCGATGTGGGACTTGACCCCAGGACCGAGATCATGACCTGAGCCAAAGGCAGACACTTAACCAATTGGGCCACCCAGGTGCCCTCAAAGTAGATCTTAAAAGTTCTCATCACAAGAAAAAAATTGTATTAAGTATGCATGGTGACAGTTGTTGACCAGACTTATCATGGTGATCATTTCACAAAATACACAAATATTGAATCAATTTGTTGTATACCTAAAACTAACATTAATGTTGTCTGTCAGTTACAACTCAATCTTAAAAAATAAATAAGCTACAGTACTTCCAAACAAGGATATATTATGCAACAAGAAAAAAGGGAAGGGGAGTCTGGGCTGGCTCAATCAATAGAACATGCAACTCTTGATCTCGAGGTTGTAAGTTTGAGCCCCACAGTGGGTGTAGAGATTACTTAAAAAAATAAAATCTTTAGGGGGCGTCTGGGTGGCTCAGTCTGTTAGGCATCTGCCTTCGGCTCAGGTCATGATCTCAGGGTCCTGGGATCGAGCCCTCCATCGGGCTCCCTGCTCAGCAGGGAGTCTGCTTCTCCTTCTCCCTCCGAAGCTCCCCCTCTGCTTGTGCTCTTTCTCTCTCTCACCCTCTCACTCGCTCTCTCAAATAAAATTTTTTTAAAAATAAAATCTTTTTGGGCGCCTGGGTGGCTCAGTCGTTGGGCGGCTGCCTTCGGCCCAGGTCGTGATCCCACAGTCATGGGATCGAGCCCCGCATCGGGCTCCCTGCTCCGTGGGAAGCCTGCTTCTCCCTCTCCCACTCCCCGTTTGTGTTCCCTCTCTCGCTGTGTCTCTCTCTCTCAAATAAATAAAATCTTTAAAAAAATAAAAAATAAAAAAAATAAAATCTTTTTTGGGGCACCTACGTGGCTCAGTCATTAAGCATCTGCCTTCGGCTCAGGTCATGATCCCAGAGTCCTGGGGTCGAGCCCCGCATCTGGCCCCCTGCTCAGCAGGAAGCCTGCTTCTCCCTCTCCCACTCCCTCTGCTTGTGTTCCCTCTCTCACTGTGTCTCTCTGTCAAATAAATACAATCTTTAAAAAAAATAAAAATAAAAAAATAAAATCTTCTTTGGGGCGCCTGGGTGGCTCAGTCATTAAGCGTCTGCCTTCGGCTCAGGTCTCCCTCTCCCGCTCCCCCTGCTTGTGTTCCCTCTCTCACTGTGCTTCCCTCTATCAAATAAATAAATAAAATCTTTTTAAAAAATAAATAACACCTTTTTTTAAATTTTGAAAAAAAAAGGAGGGGAGGTCTTTATGTACCAATTTGGACTAAATCTCCAAGATTGATTGATTGATTGATTGATTTAAAGATTTTATTTACTTACTTGAGAGAGAATAGAAGCAGAGGATAGTGGCAGAGGAAGAGAGGGGAGAGGGAGAGGGAGAAGCAGACTCCCCACTGAGCAGGCATCCCAATGAGGGGCTCGATCCCAGGACTCGAGGACCCAGGACCCAAAGGCAGACGCCTAACCACATGAGCCACCCAAGCACCCCTTATTTATTTATTTTTAAAAGATTTTATTTATTCAAAGAGAGTGCAAGCAGAGGGGGGAACAGGGGCAGAGGGGGAGGGAGAGAGAAACCCAACAGACTCCCCACTGAGCTCAGAGCCTGGTAGGGGGAGGGGGGGCTCAATCCCACAACCCTGAGATCATAACCTGAGGCAACATCAAGAATCAGATGCTTAACCAACTAAGCCACACAGATACCCCTAAATCTCTAAGATTTATTAAGTAGACAAAAGCAAGGTACAGAACATTATGCATAACAAACTACTTTGTGTTTAAAAGAAAAAGGGAGGAGCGCCCGGGTGGCTCAGTTGGTTAAGCACCCAAGCAACTAACTCTTGATTTCGGCTCAGGTCAAGATTTCAGGGTTGTGAGATCGAGCCCCATGTCGGGCTCCATGCTGCGCCTGCTTAGGATTTTCTCTCTCTCCCTCCCCCCCGCCCCGCTTTGCGCTCGTGTACTCTCTCTCAAAAAAAAAGGAAAAGGGAAAAAGGTGTTTGTGCGTGTATGTGAGCACATGCACATGTGCATATATACGGATAGATATACATGTAACTTATATGCACATAAAATACCTTTAGAAAAATATACAAGAAACTGAAAACATCAGTTATCTCCAGGGAGGGAATTAGATGGGAAAGAGATACCTTGTACCTTTTGAATCTTGACCAGTAAATCACTCTTTATTCAAAAAATATGATTTATAAAAGGTAAACAGCAGCTACAGTTACTTATGAGAGAGGACCACCTATATACCTGAGTAGCTGAGAGCAGAAGTTATCAATGGGAGGACCCCCTGCCCTTCCCCAACACTCAGCACGTGCTGCCCCAGCCAATCACCCCCATGCAGCCACTGCCCTGACAGAAACCCGGAGCACCTTACAGGAGGGCTGCTGTGATTGAATACCACTGGTCCACAGACCGAGGTCAGAATTTTCAGCCACAGTTACACACAACCGAGGCTGGCCGCACCACCTCCCGAGGAGAACAAAAATAATGGGTATATGTGAGAAAAACATAGCAAGGGGGATGGTTTTGAGTGAGAAGGGTGAGAAAAGATGGGAAAGACTACCAGAAATCTATGTCAATTCAAAGAACCCTGATTTGAGTGGTCTAAAGGGGGGGACAAAAGAGAAAGTAATTTTGTTTTTTTTATTTTATACTTCACTTCTAGGAGGAAAAATTATTAAAGAAGCCACACATTTATCAGTTTTAGGTTTTTTGTTTTTGGTAAAAAAGATCCAGAAAAGGAAGGGAAGAGAAAAAGGGAAAACAATTCTAATGTTTTAAAAAGTACAGGGAAGTAGGCTGCTTAGATATGTATCTCATCTCTTGCCTTTTCTCCAAAGAGACTTGAGATAGCAATCAGAAGTTTATTTGTAGGGTTAATAAAATATGTAAGCGAAAATGAGATTCTGATAAGGAAGAGCTAATATACATAAAAGTTTTCAGTGTGAAATTTGGCTGTGAGTTTCCTGACAGCCACAGCAAAAATGAGAGCATGACTGCCCATATGTAATAGTATTTATTTTCAAAGGAATAGATAGATCAATTCATCAATGTACTTACTGACTTACCTACAGATGTTTTCCTCTTGTCTCAAATACCATTCTGGTCTCAATAACAATTTCCAGACCAATCACCAAGCACAGCATTGCCTTGGACTCATACTCACCCCCATCTCTTCTTCCCGCACCACGTACTGGGCCACTTTGAACGAGCTCAAATATTCATTCATGCCCTGCAATTCTGTGTCTTCTGTCTCATCCTGATTACGGTCCAGAAGTCGCTCAATGGCCTTGTCATCATAGTGGATAACACTGCTATCTTCTCCCTCTTTGTTGTCTCCTCCTATAAAGAATCAGAGGTCCACACCCTCAAAGTCAGCTTCAGCAGCTGCAGTGGTAAAAAATCCCACAGGACCCTAGGGCCAAGTCTCAGGACCCTAAGTATCAAATATATCCTTTCGAGAGGCCAAACCCCACACCAAAACAAGTTTTCCTGCTAGCTTACCTCCATCTGTGGCTTCATCCTTAAATAGTTCCTCAGTGCCAAACTTGAGGATGTCATCAAGCTCCTGTTTGGACATGGATCCAGTCTTGGAGCCCAGCCCGGGCCGAACCACGAGATGCGTCAGCATCATCTTCTTCTTTGCCACCTGCGTGATGCGCTCCTCCACTGACGCACGGGTCACAAACCGATATATCATCACCTTCTTATTCTGCCCAATACGGTGAGCTCTGCTAAAAGCCTGAAGTTGGGCACAAAACAAAGTCAGAAACTGAAGTAACCATATTTTCTGGCTTCTGCTCTTGCCCTGACATCCACATAATAAGCTAAATCCAGCACGAGGCAGCTTGCTTTCACATGAAACTCTAAACTCACCCCCCGCCCCAGACCCCACCCTCCATCATGTTACTCCAAATAAGACCACAGCTAACCCAAACTCTCTGGCTCACAAGAAGGTAAAAGACATAAAAAGAATCTAATGTTTCCCCCTGAAACAACTAATTCCAGATGGTGGAGTCTTCGCAGAGAACACTTGCATTACCAGTGAGTTACTGTATACAAAGACCGCTACCTCTGCTCACCTGGATGTCATTATGGGGGTTCCAGTCAGAGTCATAGATAATAACTGTGTCTGCAGTGGCCAGATTGATTCCAAGGCCCCCGGCTCGAGTGGAAAGCAGGAAGCAGAACTGTTGAGCACCCGGTGCTAAGAAAGGAGCCAAAACACCATTAGAAGTGTCTCCTAAGGGGTGCCTGGGTAGCTCAGTCAAGTGTCTGCCTTCGGCTGGGGTCGTGATCCCAGGACCCTGGGATCAGCCCATCTCAGGCTCCCTGCTCAGCGGGAAGCCTGCTTCTCCCCCTCCCACTCCCCCTGCTATGTCTCTGTCAAATAATAAAATCTTTTTAAAAAAAATCCATGTAATGAGCCACATTAACAGGTTAAAAAAACATTCTGATTGTCTCAAAACATATGCAAGTGCATCAGATAGATTTCTAGCATTTATTAATGATCAAAAATCTTACATTAAGGGGCGCCTGGGTGGCTCAGCTGTTAAGCGTCTGCCTTCGGCTCAGGTCATGATCCCAGGGTCCTGGGATCGAGCCCCACACTGGGCTCCCTGCTCCACAGGAAGCCTGCTTCTCCCTCTCCCACCCCCCTGCTTGTGTTCCCTCTTTCACTGTGTCTCTCTCTGTCAAATAAATAAATAAAATCTTAAAAAAAAAAAAAGTGTCTCCTGAACTCCAATTAATAAATGTAGAAGGCATGTCAGAAATACAAAACATCATCAGGCAAACACCACGGTAGTAATCACTGTAAGCAAGGTCCACAGATGGATGCTGAAATCAATGTGCAAGTTTAAAGAGAAAAGGTGCATGACCATAGTCTCGAATACCTCCCTCATCCAGTTATGGAATGGGTAAGTCATGGGGGTGAAAGGCAGACACAGAGAATACACTCAGTAATACTGTAATAGCGTTGTATCACGACAGAAGGCAGCTACACTCATGGTGAGCCTTGTCCAATCACTACCTTGCACAGCTGACACCAATGTAACACTCTTGTGTCAACTATACTTCAAATTAAAAAAAAAAAAAAAAAGACATTTATCAGTATTAATTCTAATGGGAAAAAGAGTAAGTTTACCGTCGAGAAACTAAGTAGATACCACCTGAACTGAGTGATCAAGGTTAACATCCCCAGTAATGGGACATTAGCAACATCATATCCTCCCCCTGATATGATGCAATGAAAAGAATACAGCACTGCTTCTATGGCATTCTTGCCCAAAATGTCTACTAAGCTCAACCTGCTATGAGAAAACACCAGACAAACCCAAACTTAAGATATTCTAGGGGCGCCTGGGTGGCTCAGTCGTTAAGCGTCTGCCTTCAGCTCAGGTCATGATCCCAGGGTCCTGGGATCGAGCCCTACCTCAGGCTCCCTGCTCCGCAGGAAGCCTGCTTCTCCCTCTCCAACTCCCCCTGCTTATGTTCCCTCTCTCGCGGTCTCTCTCTGTCAAATAAATAAAATCTTTAAAAAAAAAAAAAAGAGAGACATCCTATAAAATAACTAACCAGTGATCCTTGCAAGTACCAATGGCATGAGAGCAAAGGAAAGAATGAAGAACTGTCACAGATATGAAAGAAACACAACAACCAAATGCAATGGGGGATCTGGTATTGGACCCTGAAATATGGAAAAGGACATTAGGAGGAAAACTGGTAACATTCAATTAAGATCTACAGTTCAGTTACTAGTATGCCATCAATCATCACTTCCTGCTTTTGACAGTTATACTGTTATTATGTAAGCGGTTATTATTAAGAGAAGCTAAGTGAAGAATATATATGAACTCTGAATTATTTTTTCTTACTTTTAAGTCCAAAATTATTTTATTTTTTTATTTTTTAAAGATTTTATTTATTTATTTGACAGAGAGAGACAAAGCAAGAGAGGGAACACAAGCAAGGGGAGTAAGAGAGGGAGAAGCAGGCTTCCCGCTGAGCAAGGAGCCCGATACGGGGCTCGATCCCAGGACCCCGGGATCACAACCTGAGCCAAAGGCAGACGCCTAATGACTGAGCCACCCAGGCACCCCCAAAATTATTTTAAAATAAAAAATGAGGGGGTGCGTGGCTGGCTCAGTCGGAAGAGCGTGCAACTCTTGATCTCGGGGTCATGAGTTCAAGCCCTACGGTGGGTGTAGAGATTAATAAAAAAATAAATAAACTTTCTAAAAACTAACTTAATCAAATTAGAAATAAGAAGGAGGAGGAAGAATGGGAGGAGTGGCAGCTACGGAGACAGGTATGCCACATATTTGCGAACTGAGCTTGGTAAAGTCTTGGTCCCTCTCTGGGACTCAAGATACAACGAAGAGGGTTAAATAAAATGCTCTTCGTGTGGCAAAAAGAATGAAGACTCCAAACGGAAAAAAAAAAAATCTGCCAGGAATAGTCCAAAACATCCTTTCAATCAAGGCATTCAAAAGCTTTATTCTTCCATATCACAATTGACAAAAACTCTAAAGAACCATAAAGAAAAGCAGACAGACAAAAACAAGTGATCCAGGAGCGCCTGGGTGGCTCAGTCGTTAAGCGTCTGCCTTCGGCTCAGGTCGTGATCCTGGGGTCCTGGGATCAAACCCCACATAAGGCTCCCTGCTCGGCGGGAAGCCTGCTTCTCCCTCTCCCACTCCCCCTGCTTGTGTTCCCTCTCTCACTGTGTCTTTCTCCGTCAAATTAATAAATTAAAAAATCTTAAAAAAAAAAAAGAACAAGTGGTCCATACAAAGACATGAGTAAATGAGAATGCATGGACTAAAACCACTCCCTCCCACTTACCATTGAAGCGATCAATGGCCTCTTGCCGCATGTTCCCAGTGATCCCACCGTCGATACGTTCATACTTATAACCTTCATGTTCCAAGAAATCCTCCAACAGGTCCAGCATTTTGGTCATCTGGAAAAGGAGCACAGTTCAGTGAAGGGGGAGTCAGATGACAGTTGCTTTCCTCGCGTCGCTGAGGGCAGTCTGCTGCTTTCTCCTCAAGCTCCCAGCCCAGCCCACACAATACCTGAGAGAAGATGAGTACACGGTGCCCACCCTCCTTAAGGTTCTTGAGCATCTTCTGAAGCAGCAATAATTTCCCCGATGCTCGGATGAGGGCACTGCCATCATACATGCCATTAGGCATTTTAGGGGCTTCCTGAGGAAAGAAGCCAAAAAGAAACAAACTCTGAGCCAAATGGAGCAACTCCAGCGCAGCGGGGGCCGAGAGGAGACAGGGCGTACCATCGCAGCCACAGGGAAGAGGTATGGGTGGTTGCAGCACTTCTTCAGATCCATCACCACATTTAGCAGAGAGACCTGGTTGCCACCCCCTCGAGCATTGAGTGCTTCAAAATTTCGAGTAAGAATGTACTTGTAGTATTTCCTACATGGACAAGATGGAGAGAGAAGTCAGACTCGAGAGCCTTTAGAGGACTCTTAACCTTTATACGACTCATGACACAGTCCCAAGGTCTGAGACCTTCCTTCCAACACATCTCGCTTTAGGACCTAACGGCTGGAAACCTAACAGGCACCACCGCCAGCACCATCACGTGAAGGAAAGTATTTAACTACATAAGAACTACGGCATGAGGTTTCTGTGTGATCTCGCTTGCTCCCGTCACCAGATGCCTGGCAGCAGAGTACAGGAAGGAATCAGAAACACTGTGCAGACTAGTAGGTGTCTAACTACTTGGACAAAATGGAGTCAGTGCTTCTGTCCCTTCTGACTCACTTCTGCATAGGGCTCAGCTCCACGCGCACAATCAGTTCTGTCTTGGATGGCATATTCTTGAACACATCAGCTTTGAGCCGCCGCAACATATGAGGGCCCAGCATGTCATGCAGTTTTTTAATCTGGTCCTCCTTGGCAATGTCGGCAAACTCCTCCAAGAAGCCTTCCAAGTTGCTTCAGAAAGAGAAAGGAAAGTGATATAGGAAATGGGCAACAGGAAGAATTAGAAGCAGAATTATCAGCTGATTATGGAGAAACACACACTTACTGGAATCTCTCGGGGGTGAGAAAGTTGAGCAGATGAAACAATTCTTCTAGATTGTTTTGTAATGGAGTCCCGGTCAGCAACAGCTTGTGTTGGAGTGAGTAACCATTTAACACCCGGAAGAACTGGACAAGCATATGGAGAAGGTGAAATTCAATGAAAAGAGAAATCTGGGAGATGTCTGCAAACCTGAGCTGTTTCACTGCCCAATGGTTAAGCCTCCACTCCGCCCCCCCCCATCTCCATCCCCCTTTTAAGGCCTGGCCACCAAGAGCAATCACAAGTGAGGAGGGAAGGCAGAGACTATTTGACCCTTTCCTCTCCTCCCAGGTCCTCCCCTTAAGGAGTAGGTGGTACTAGAAAACTCAAACCGGAGGCAATAACCTCCCTCCCTTCAGTCTCACCTTTGACTGATTGTTCTTGAGCCGATGCGCTTCATCCACAATGAGGCAGGCCCAATCAATGGAACCCAAGATAGCCATGTCAATGGTAATCAACTCATAGGATGTCAGCAGCACGTGAAATTTCACAGATGCCTCTTTCTGCACAAAGAGGCAACCTGGTCACTAACGTTCAACCCCTCCAGTTAAGGTTAACCCAAGGGACTTATGGGGTTTTCCCTCCTCCCAACTGTTATCCTTCCGCCTCACCGCAGGGACTAGAGTCAGAAGGAAGCCGACTAAGCCCGCAGCAACAACTCCCTCTAGGGTGGTCTTCCTCCCACTGAGATACCTTCATGCGAGAGGCTTTCTTGCCACCACGAATGGCATTGTCTTCAAAGGAGAACTCATTCTCTCGGATGATGGCACGGCTGTCTTTGTCACCCACGTAGGTCACCACATACATATCTGGAGCCCACATTTCAAACTCCCGCTCCCAGTTGATGATGGTAGAAAGAGGGGCACTCACTAGGAAGGGGCCTTTGGAATGACCCTTGGAGAAAGAAGAGAAGTGGCGGAGTAAGGACTGCGGGCCCCAGCACCCATCTCTACCACTGCCCCCAAGGCCGGCTGAGAACTGGCATGTGTGCTACTACTCCTACCCTCACCTTTGTCTACGCAGGAGAACGCCTGGCCTACTCCTTCCCACTGCACACCCACCTTTACAAAGAGTTCAGAACCCGACCCCATCCTGTAAATCTTTCTGTGCTAATTCCACTCACAACTCTGCTTATCTCAACGGGTATTTGTTCCCCTAAGACTGAGGCTCTATGCATTCACCAATGATTCTACCCGGGGCTCCATCCCTTCAGTCCATCTCTGTGTACGTGTGTCTATCTTACTGTCATTCAACAATGTTCTTCAAGTTCCGTGACCAATTTTTTCCTTCCTTTTTCTCTCTCCTCAAGAGCGTGAAAAAACCACAAACACAAAATACCCACACACAAAACAACTAACAGCCCAGCGTTCCTACCTCCTTGTAGAGAGAATAGAGGAAGACTGCTGTCTGGACAGTCTTCCCAAGGCCCATCTCATCAGCCAAGATGGTGTCGGTGCCTTGAGCCCAGGAGAAGCGCAACCAGTTCAAGCCCTCCATCTGATAGGGGTGCAGGGTTCCACCCGTAGCATCCAGGTACTCTGGCTGTCGCTCATACTTCACTGTTGGCTGAAGGATGAAATGAAGGAAGTCAAGAGCTGGCAAGGAACTCCCTTCCTTGCATAAGACAGCAGATGCTTGCTCCTCACACATCCTCACTAGATCCTCAAGAGCCACAAAGAACTGTGGGAAAGAAGATCCTCAATGGCTACTGTAACTTTGCGTTTGATTTAGGATCCTCCAGGAAGCAGGGGACTAATCCATCAGACCGACTGAGATCTTGGTCCTACAGATCTCTGAAGGAAGACAGCATCATATAGCCTCCCTAGCAATATAGTAATTCTGCTAATCAAGATCCACCAGGTCAATAATCCTATGTTCCTCCTAGAGTCCTCTTTTTTTTTTTTTTTAAGATTTTATTTATTTATTTGACAGACAAAGAGAGCCAGAGGGCACAAGCGGGGGGAATGGCAGAGGGAGAAGGAGAAGCAGGTTCCCTGCTGAGCAGGGAGCAGGGAACCCGATGTGGGCCTGGATCCCAGGACCCTAGGATCATGACCTGAGCCAAAGGTAGATGCTTAACCGATTGAGCCACCCCCACATCCCTAGAGTCATTTTTTTAACCTTAACAGTCCTTATGTTCTATTCCACAAATTAAACCCAGACAAAATAAGCCATGAATTAAGAGTCAGAAGACCCAGGTTCCAATACAAGCTTCATAAAAGCTTAGTTGTGTGACCCATCCCTAGGTAACACTTTCTCAATCACAGAAAATACCATCTCCTATGTTTTTATTTTCCTGATGATGCAAAGAGAAAGTGACGCTGGCATTTCTGTCGTTCAGAGGTGTGGACAAGTGGGGAAGCCGTCCAGCTCGGACACTGCCACTGGCAGAGCCGCACTACAAGCACCATCCAGAGACTGGAGCACAACCGTACCCTCCTCCTTCTGCCCCAACTCACATCAACTGTAGGAGTTTCAGGAGGCCTCTCCAACTTCCTCAGCTTCACCTTCTTGAGCTTCTTGCCTGGTCGTCCTTCCTCACCCCTCATTAACTCCCTAAAGAAGACAGACATCACACAGCTACCCAAGGTCCTTCCCGGCAAGAACCAACTTCACACCTCAGCAAAGCTACCCACCTGTGGTTCCAATAGCTCTGCTTGAACAGGTCGTAGTCCTGTATTTCCACATCCTCGCTCTCCCAGGATGCCTGATCGTAGGGCAAGTCCCGCCACTTGATCAAGTAGTGGACATGGCCCTTCTTGTCCACACTGAAAGGTCAAGGAGAAAAAAATCCTCACAGCCAGAAGGCCACTTCTCACTCTCAAAAAGTGCCCAAAATGCACGTTCCAAACTAGACTTCTAAGAAGGCCAGATGCCACACGTATTTAGAATCTCTACCACACCAGTCTCTGGACCTAAAATTACACCTAATCTATAGTTTTCTCCTATGGCTCAAATACCAAGATTCAGTAAGATAAGAATAATAAAATGACATATCTCTTCCAAGTTTAAATCACCGTGACATCCATTTTCTTACTCCCTTTGGCAGCAGTCTTCCAATGGATATGCTGCCTGCCTCCAGTACGCCCAAGACCACCACCAGTCTGGCCCAGCTCCACTGGTACCTGTGGTTGAGAATTCGGTGGATCATCATCCACTCAGGTTTTATCCCATAGCGATAGAAGCGTTCCTCCATCTCTGCAAATTTAGGGTCTTTGTTCTTGCGCTTCCGGCTCTTCTCTTCATCACCACCAAAGTCCCCAGAAGGTGGTTCGTCCATATCATTCTTCCGCTGATAGTTTCGGAACATCACTTGACAGTGCAGCTCCAACTGCAAGCAGGAAGAGACATCAGCCACCATGGAGTGGCATCCGCTCCTTCCAGCCACAAGGCCGTTTCTCATGACCCTCTTCACTGCAGCCCCCAGATCTCTAGCCTATCCCAGGTTTACCTGCAGTTCAGACACCCAGGAGCAGTGCCAGTAAGACATGCCTTGCCATTTCACAAAGAACTGCCGCTCTGGCCGCCCCTCCAGGGGCTTGGGAGAGGGAGTATTGGGATCAGCATCTGGAGGCCGAGGCACTGGTGTGGGAGATGGTGGCTGACCCCATTTCCAGATTAGAATCTTCTGAACTTTGCCCTTAAGAGCTGGACACTGACAGAAAAAAAGAATTCAACAACAAATCATTACCAAGGAGAGGAAATGATACAGCCCATAGCCTCAACCTTATCAAGGGATTATTAAAATCTCATTTCAAGAGGTGCCTGGGTAGCTTAGTCCATTAGGAGTCCGACTCTTGGATTCAGCTCAGATCATGGTCTTGGGGTCATGGGATCAAGCCCCGCATTGGGGCTCAGTGTGGAGTCCGCTTGAGATCCTCTCCCTCTCCGCACCCACCCCTATTCGTGCTCTCTCTCTTCCTCTCCCTCTCTTAAATAAGTAAATAAATAAATAAAATTCTTAAAATCTCATTTCAAGAAGGACCATACTAGCTTAGAATAACAGAATTCCCTCTCCACTTCTGGACTTCATCCAGAATTTGAGTGACACTATCACTCCTATCTGTTTAACAGAGCCAGTAGCTAGACTTCAACAATAACCCAGAACAAGGAGAGCACAGAAAACCCACAGACCTAGAGCCCAGAATTCCTCTCATAAGCAACTGAAAAGCAATTAAGTGACCCTATTAGCCATTCTAAACTACCAAGACCCCAAGGCTGGGTGTGAAGACAGAATGGATGCCCTAGGCTAGATGAACACTGCTTTAAGAACACCCCTTAAAAGAGCTGGCAAAGCATCAACTCTTCTGTTCAAAGTTAATCCTACATTTTCTCAAAGCTATCCCCAGACTACATGAGAAAGGAAAATAACCTGTCTCAGGGCTAAAGATAAGAGTTCTCCAATGACCTCTCCTGCACCCCAGCCCCCGAAAGCCTACATATAAAAGAGGTATACCCTTCTGCTAGACCACACTACCCACACCTCCCACCTTGGCTGGGGTCAGTCACTCACCGTACAACGGGGACAGAGCCATTCGCCATTAGGGATCTCTGGAAGTGGGGGGTTCAGGCAGTGGATGTGGTAGGATGAAGGACAGGTGTCACAGCAGAGCAACTCCCCACCATCCTTACAGACACGACAGAATTCCATATGGTGGTCATCCTCCTCTTCTGGGTCTCCTCCAACCTCTTCCAGGATCTCCTCACCCTCCGAATTGTCCTCTTTAGCCTCCCACTGGATGCCTTCCTTCTCCTTCAGTAAAGGACCACAGAGTCAGATTATTACCACCCCCCACCCACCCAAGTCGGAACCACACCCAACATTCTTTTGAATGCTTCCCAAAGTCCACACCAGCAACACCACCCAGGCCCAAAAGATCTCTATCACCCCACCCTTCCTCTTGAGGGTTCCAAAGGGCCACAATGGCCAGGTACTTACGCAGTGTGGGCAGCTCCACTTGCCCTCAGGAGCCTTCTCCATATCTGGATCCAGGCAGACCATGTGGTAAGCTCGGGGACAGGTATCACACAGGATGATCTCACCGCCTTGCTGGCACACCTCGCAATAGTCCTGGTGGTCTGTCTCATAACCATCCACAGCAGTCACCTCCTCCTCGCCTGGGCAAGGAAGAGGGAAAGCCCAGTTATTAGAAAAAAACTACCTCCCCCCACCCCTTCTAAAATAAACCCAACCCCGATCTCCTTAGGGAGATTCTTCCCCAGTCATCCCCACCCCATCCCATCACACACAGACCCAAAAAAGAAACACACCTTTCTTTTTCTTTTTAGTGGTTCGCAGTTTCTTGCGGCTGCGGCTACTGCGGCTGGTGGAACCATCAGAAACGGAATAGCTATTGATACTGGCATCGTCGAAGTCAGACTCTACATCCAAGTCATCATCCTCACTCTGGCAGAATGAGAAGAAAGAAGGTCAGCGCTTGAAGCCAACAGGAAGGAGAATGCTAGAGAAGGGATCGCTCTTACTAGGGGTGCGAGAATCCCAGCAAGGACGGTCAAGGAAGAAGCCTAGTCCCCGTGTTCTAGGGCCAACAGTCCCCACTCTTACGTGCCTACTGCGAAGGCTAGACCTGGACATAAGGTTAACGTCGTACTAGATAGGGCACCCTCCCCACAGGCATGGGCTGGGCTCTCACCGAGGATCTCTTACGCTTAGAACCAAAACCTCCCAGCTTGATTTTCAGGGGAGCTACTTTCTTGGGTTTAGGCTTCTTGGCATCGGGTACACGAGGGCTGCCCTTGGGCTTCCTCCGAGCATTGGGACCTAAAATCAGAAGAGCACAAGTAAGATTATATATTCCAAATGCACGACAAGGCAGAAGATGGGGAAGATAAGACAATGTTCTCCACCTGAGCGGGCTTCCCTGTGCCCAGCTTCCCAAATTTCCCTCGTAAATCCAAGATTCATTTCCCCCTCACACTCCTCTATCTGGAGGCTGACAGAACAGCATCCCCATGCCTCCTCTGTCTTCAACATCCCACACCCACACCATCCCGCCTCGCAACGGGTCCCATTTCACCTTTGCCCTCCTTGGTCTTGGCCTTGCGGATAGGCACCTCCACAGGGGGAGGAGGTGGGGCAACTTCAGTGGCCGTCACCATGCTCTCCACCACAGCCACCGCCGCCGCCGCCGCCGCCGCCACTGAAGCCCCAGAACTGCCTTTGAAGGGATTGTTGGTGCTGAACTCACGCCACTTTGCACCCAAAACCATCATCATCTTGGAGACAGCAATCTTGGGGTTTTTGGCAGCAATGAGAGGTCTGGTGGAAAAACGGACAAGAACAAAGAGGAAAAAGTTTAAGAATAAAAGAGAGAGAAAAAGAAGCAAGAAGATATTATACAAGCACTCTCCTCCCTGGGGCCCAAGACCCTCCTGTTTACCGGACAAACTGGCTGAAGGCCTTGTAGTTGGTGAGGGTGCGGTAATCCTCCTCTGAGAACACATGGTCAATGTCTTCCATGCCCCAGTCTTCTAGGAGCTGAGCGGAGGATTTAGGCTCCTGCAGAGAGAGCAAGGTCAAGGACCTGACACCTAGTGCCCACACTTGCTAAAGGGAACCTGAGCTGAGATAAAGGCTTGCAAGCCCAGGGGAGGGGAGAGGAGAGAAAATCATTACAAACGGGGAGAGAAGACACTCAAAGGGGCAGTGCAGTCTCTGGGGGACAAAGGACAGGGACAGGACTGTCGACAGCAAGCATGGAGGACAGGACAGAGGTCAAGGCACCTTTGAATCATCGTCATCATCATCCTCCTCCTCCTCTTCCTTCCGCTTGGATTTGCTCTTCTTTTCTTTCTTAGGTCCAAGCTTCTTCTTCTTCTTCTTGCCAGGGGTATAGTCGCTGCCCTCACTGTCTGAGCGCAGAGCCACCTCTTCCTCCTCCTCCACAAACTCCGGCCCCTCCCCAGAGCTGTCCCCCAGCTGCCGGCACAAGAGCATACGCTGGAGCAGGGAAAGGGGAGAGGGAGAGGGAGACAGACACACACATGCTACACACATGCTGACCTCAGGACAGCCCTGAGGCTCATCCCCAGGACCTGGGCCCACCACTCTAGAAGAAGAAACAAACGCCCCCCACCCCTCAACCGTTCTCATCAGAGCTTCTCCCTTCTTCTTCTTATTCCCCAAAACATCCAGTCACCCACTCACCTCCTTTTTTTGGCGCTTGCTCTTAGGGATTTTAGGGTCCCGAGGTTTCTTAGGCTTTTTCTTCTTCTTGAGCTTTGGAGTCTCTGCTTCTGACAAATCCTCTTCTGGGTCCTCTTCATTTTCTACATGTATTTGGCAGAAAGAGGCAAGTAGAGAAAAGATCAATAGCAAAAGGTTAGAGCCTAATCCAGAGGCTTTAGACTATTCCCCCACCTCTTGTCCCAGATTCCACTGAAGAGAACTGCTATACTCACCACAGAAGGAAGCTGATACTCAGGACAAAAACAGACAAAGAGAGAGCTGTATATACCCAAAATAGGCCTGTCAGGCCAGATCAGGCCCACCTCGGGCAGCTGTCCAGACCCTTGCCTCCTCTCCCTCATCCCTAACAGGAGTCCTCTATATGTTCACCAGTGCAGCTGAAGCAAGCTGCTTAGAATTAACCAAATAAGAGAAATAGGTCTAGCCCTCCTCCAACTGTCCACCAAATATCCTACAAACCAGGGAATGAAAATGAAAGGTCCTACCCATAAGGCAAAAACGAGAGAATACACCTTCACTACATTCCCAGACGCTATCAGTCCAGGGGTCCCAGAAACCACACCCTTCACTACCCACTTCGGGTCATCATTGCTTAAAACCACCAGAATCCTCAAGCCCCAGGTTCAGTTGTCAGCCCAATATCACACCCACTCCCAAACATAATTTCCTTTCCCCATCTCCAGCTCCACTGCTCCTCCCCAGCTTCTCCTGGGTCAGTAGCCTCTTCTCCCCAGGGGCCCAAATCAGCCCAGCTGTCACCATCTCCTCCACACACCACCCCCCCATCCTCCTCCCATCTGGCTCCACCTCCTCCCCTGGCTGGGAGCACACACAAAGCCTGGGGTAATACTGAGAGCTCCTGGGCAGGGATAGGTGGGAAGGGGCACAGAGGGGGAGGAGAAGGCCAGGATGCAGCTTCCTTTGTAACTAACACACATTCACACCACCTCCCTCCTCCCTCCTCTCTCTCCTTCTTCCTAAGCCACCCCCGCCCAGGGAGGGGGGGAGTGGAGAAGGGAGTGGAGAAAAGGAGGGAGTGCCTCACCCACTGAGGAGAGGGAAAATGGCTCCTGACCGCAGAAGCCAGCCCAGGGCACCCAGCTGCCAACATAGGACAGGAAGTAGCAGGGGAGGGGGGTGGGGTTGAGAGAGGTAGCCGAGGAAAGACTACCCTCACAAAGACTTCCCAAATTACTACCTGGCCCCAGGTCCACATGCCACTTCTCCTAACACCTATTCTGGGATGACACAGTTCTCAAGAGGCCACTCTTAATGTCCTAGGCAAGGAAACCCAAGACAAACATGAAGGGTAATACAAGAGGGACTGGGTTACTCCCTCAATCGTAATTATTTCTCCAATCATCAAAGCTAAGATTTAACAAAGGCTCAGTGGAGCTATGATCAGAGCATACAACCTTCTCAAATTTTTGATATCCAAAGTATTTACCTTGAGGAACGGGAGCCCACGAGAAGTCTCTACAACTCAGTTTCCTCCTCACCACCTACCTCCCGAAGAGTCCAAGCCATAGATCCTAAACCACCTCTCATGGATTAGTAGGAGCCACCTAGCCAACAGATGGGAGTGATGTCTACACCAAGAAAAAAGGAGCAGCACCTGGACAGTGCTGGACAACAATATGCTTCCTTCAATCCTACACATGCTCTTCGCCCCTGACCCCACAACTAGCCCTAAAATGCTTCTGGCTCCGCCCTTCCTGAGCAAGGCAGATACTAGGGAACATGAGACATTAAGCTTGACAAAGCACCATCAGCCTCCCCCCACTCAGCCCAGGATCAGGCCAGGCATAAGAAAGCCCCTCCCATTCCCTTGGGAATGGAACACCAGCCTGGATCTCACCAGAAAGAACCATTTTCTTCAGGCTTCTCCCCAGCAATCCCCATGTCGTCCCCCTCACTAATCAGTTACAGCTCTTGGTTCCTCGTCTCCCTTACCTCCATAAAAGCTGGATATAAGGACAAACCCACGCAGGTGAAGGGGATACCCATTCTAAGACCCCCAAACTTCTCAGGCAGATAATGTGCTGAGACAACATGCAGCAAAGTAGCTGAGACATAAAAGATTTGGGAAAGGGGCAGGAATGGGGTGTGGCAAGTGGAAAAACTGGGTCATGCTACAGCTTGGGGCAGAGTTCACCCTGGGAGCCTGCACAACTCCCAATCAACACGGGGGCAGCCCCAGACCAAGGGGCCAATGGGAAGCCAAGATGTGGAACCAACATTGGCTGGATAGCACTACTACTCCTCTGGCCCCTCACAGAAAGGATCAGATCATATTACCTGTACCACCACCCCACCCCCACCTTGGGCAACAGCACAGAAATTTGCCACCTTGGCCTACACAGTGATGAGACTCAAGCCGAAGTTTCTTATCCCAACAACCGAAGACTCAGGAACAACACTGACCCCTCTCCTAAGTGGCCTCAGTTTCAAACGAAGACTTCCAAACTCAGAAGACACCAAATGTAGAAACATCTTTCCCAGACCACCTCAACTTGCTGCTAGAGCTAAGGAGAGACAAGGCAGAAGTGAAATATGTTTGATGGGAAACAAAAAACAGGACCAGAAAGCTCCGGAATTAAAGGAAAAATAAACATAAGCAGAGAAGATTAAAAAATAGCATGGAAAAAAAAAAAAAGCTTGAAAAAAGGTCAAGGAAACAAGTAGGTGACTTAGCTAGAAGCTCTTTAAAAGACAGACGAAAGAGACATCCACTTAGATGCATGACATCAATCACCATTTGAGAAGGGACAAGGGCTACTCCAATCAGGCAGGATGATTCTAACCATACGGGTTTGGCCAGTCCAAGGAGCCACCCCCAAACACAGACAGAACAACCCCCAACACACCTACACAAACACTTCATGCCACCAGCCCAAACCCTAGGCTCCCTGCAGGGAGGCAGAAGCCTCTAGGAAAAAAGCCTATATTATGTCCACTTGCCATGGGAAGGGGGGGTGCCCAGGGTGTCACCTCTGTTCTTTTGCCCCTCCCTAGTATATCCTTCAGGCTGTGACATCCTACCCCTAGCCCCCATCATTTCCCCACTTGAAACATTCCAGCAATCTGCCTGGCTAAAAGCGCTGCACATCCCAGCTGAGGAGCGCAATTCAAACTTCACACAGTTGAGAAAGCACAGAAAACCGGTAACTGATCAGAAGCTAAAAATAATCAGATAGAGAGTAACCAGCACTCCCTTTCTCCTTTCCACAGCAGCAACCACAGGATCCTGCTAACACAGATGACCTGCAGATCTCCAACATGCAATTCTCAACACCCACCCCCCCACACCCACCCCGCCTCCAGGGGTCCCAGCCACCTGCATTCCTCCATGGACCCACACAAGGTAAGGTCGGCCAGCCCAGAGAGCTCCCTCAACCGGGAATTGCATAGCATTCCTGAAGACAGTGCAGCAAGCTTGCATCTCGGTCCCAGAGCCCAGGAGGCACATGGCTTCCACCCCCTCCCACAAGAGCTCCGCAGAAGGGAACCACTCCCTTCGGATGCCCTCCACCTCAGACTCTGCACAGAGAGAGAGAAAAACTCAACCCTGCCTCACCAGAGTCGCTAGGGAGGGCCCACATGCCTCCTTCCTGCCCTGGGCCCTTGGGGAAGATGTTACCTGGGTGGGGTGGGGGCAGGCTGTTGTTCAAAAGTGCATCCATATCTTCCTCCTCGCTGCCCGCCGAGCAGGGGGACGGGGAGCCCAGGCCCGACGCCATCCCCTTCCGCTCCCGGCCAGGGAACTGGCCCAGCTGCTCCTGCCTGCGGCCTGGGGCCCTCTACACTGGCCCGAGTCACTGTGCGGGGGAGGGGGGGAAGAAAGAGAGAACAGTCAGTGACGCGCACTGTCCCCCTCCCCCACACCCACCCGCTCTTTCCGCCCACCACCACCAGCGGCCCCCCCACCCCAGCCACCCTAGCAGGGCACCCGAGCCACTCAGGCTGAACTTAGTTCCACACTCCTCGAGGGCAGCCCGGAAGCCGGCTCCCCAACCGGAGCCCCCCGGATGAGCGGGAGCGACGCCCCCGAGGGCAGGCTGGTGCAGGCGTGGGGAGGGGGAAAAACCAGGCTGGACCGAGCAGGGTGTGACGGGGGGGCGGGGAGGGAAGGGGGTCCGAGTGGCCACGGCGCGGGGGGGCCCGGGGGAGGCGGCAGGCGGCGAGGCGCTCGGGGACACAAGGTCACTTGGGGGTGGGGGGGCACCTCCCTGCGCCTGGGGAGGGGCCAGTCCCCAGACAGGGCAGCTCTCCAAAGGCTGTCCTCTGGGACAACTCAGGTTCTCCGGAGGAGCTGCGGGGCCGAGGGGGCGTGGAGGCTCGGGCGCTCCAGGGGGCTGGAAGCTGGGACGCGGGGGGTGAGGGAGCGCCCACCGGGCAGGGGGCCGGGCCACGTGTCCCGGGGGGCAAGTGAGCAAAGGGCGAGGGGGCGGGCGCCGGGCATTGTGGGAGACCAAGCCCGAGGTGGGAGTCGCGGGGAGCAAGACTCGGGCCGGCTTAGGGCGGGGGTGGGGGGGCAGGGCGCCCTGCAGGCAAGGGAAAGGAAGGGTCGGCTCCTCTGGGCAGGGGGCGGTCCGCGAGTCCGGGACGTCTGAGGAAGAGGTGGGTGGAGGGATGAGCTTGGGGGCTGGTCGGGCTGAGAGAGGCGTCTCTTTGGGAACCCCGTGCTCTCCTCACCCCGGAGCCGCCGCAGGTCGCGCTGGGTCCGGCCCGGTGTCACTCCCGCTCCGGCTCCTCCTCGCCGCGGCCGAAGGGGGGAAAATGGCTCCGGCTCCGGCGTCGCCTCTTAAAGGGCCCGAAACACCGGCCGGGAAATCCCACCGCACAGGCCCCGCCCCCCCACGGACAGCCCATAATAACCTCAACCAACTCCAACCCCCCCCCCTCCACTACCGCCACCCTCCTCCCTAGGTCTCCCGGGCAACCCCCGCCCCCTCGTCGCTCAGGCAACCGTTGGCCACGCCCCCTTCGAGCGCGCGCGCGCGTGTCACCCGGGCAACCACCCACCTCCTGGCCATCCCATAATACACACGGACACCCCCCACCACCACCCCCCCACACACACACACTCCATACACCTATATGCCAAAGCTGTTGACATCTCATAATATTGCAGACCTTTTGCAACTAACCCTTTCCCCACCTCAGACATCCCATAATAGCCATCCTTTGCCAACTTCTTCACTCTTGGCCCCTAATGCTAACATCCCATAATAATTCGTCACCTCTCCTTCCCCATGGCCATCCCATAATAAGCACCCCTCCCAGCACTTCAGCCTCACAGCCCATAATACTCATCCCCATCCCCCACAGACATCCCATAATAACCACTCTTCATCCACCCCCAATTTGATATCCCATAATAGTCAGAAACTCCCCCCACCACCACCACATTACAACAACGGACACTTCGGCCTCCTCCCACACACATCCCGTAATAATCAGTTTCCCACTTTCTATACTGACATCCCATAATAACCAACCCCCTAGCCTGAGCTGCCCTCAGCCCCTGCAGGCTAGGGTCTAGATCCTCACACCACCACCCTCAGCCTTCATACATTCATTCAAACTCCACAGCCCATAATAACCACTTCTTCTCTGTCAAAGAGATATCCCATAATGATCCGCAGCCTTACTGTCACCCTACAGATGGACATCTAATCTCCCTTTCTCTAAACGCTCCAAAGATATCCCATAATTCTACTCCCCCATCCACACCCTGATATCCCATAATAATGTCAAGGAGCCCGTGGTGCACCAGACATACTCTAACACTCCCAGCGCAGCCCAGTGTCACATCCCATAATGCTTCATCTCCAGCCACCACCCCTATACCTTTCCAGCCAGGCATCCCATAATATTCATATTCAAACCTCCCCCACCTCCACAGGCTGTCAGTCTATTCTAACACCCAGAGCCACAAGGGTGAAGCAGGCTACCCACACTGCCCTGTGCCGGCCTCAACTTGTACACACCTTTATCCCTTTCTGGGCCAAAGCAGTATCCTGGCATAAAGCCTCTTGATGTCTAGAACAAACCCTACCTTCCCTCATCCCATCATTTCCAGACACTTAGGAACTGAGAGTCAATCTAGGGCCCCACCCAATCCCACCAAAATCCAGTTATTCTCCAGATGCTTACCTTCAGCTCTTAAGTTTTGAGTAAGGCCAACCAAATACCATGCTGACCAGATGAGCCATTTACATGAAGTTTAATTCAGCCACAGCATCCCATAATAATTACAAACTCTTATCTTTAGAAAGGAGTCTTTAGACTATTTCTTAACATTTCAGCAGCCCTTCTCCCACGTCACCCCGCCTCCCCAGGTCAGGTGGTCCAACACGCCTGGGCCACTCCCATGGATGGACAACCCACCATGATGTGAAGTGAGGATCCTGCTATGTATATGCCAAGAACCAAGACCCGCTGTCCCTCTCCTCACGGCTACTCATGTTCATTCAACAGATGCTGCCAGAGCACCTAGGAAGGCACCAAGCTGGGCACCACAGGGAATGCAAGGACCACAGGTGCCTCCCTTCAAGAAGCATAAACAACCCATAAAACTATGAGACAAGATAGAATGTCTGATGTCAAGGGAACACTGCAGAGTGCTATTTCCCAATTTCCTATTACAGAGAATAAAACAAATCCCAACTGGTCTCAGGAGAGATCAGATCCCAGGAGAGGTTCTTGATGGTCCTTCTAGAGGCTAGAAGGTATTCCAAAAGGATTTATGATATAGATGGGTGGTCAAGATATCTCCTATCCGTTCCCTACTGCACTAAGGGATTTTGATTAGAAAGCAATGTCCATCTATCCAGTGTTTCTAATACTGAAATCCCATAATATCATCATGTGCCTCCTTCTTGAGAGACACTTAACATGCCAGAATTGTTACCCTCATTCTTGAACACCAAATTCTGCTCACCCTCAATGTCCTGTATTTTTTAGCCACTTTCTTGTTTATATCCTGAAGTCTCATACTTCCAACTGCCCCCATTCTCATCTTGTTGGGGCCCCATTCTCCATCCAAAAAAACTCTTTGATGTATACAATACTCACCATCTTCCCTCCTCCCATGTACAAGCCAACACTCCAGGATGCCTCCTTCATTCAATTATGCTACAAGGTAGCCTTTCAATGTATACCCTCTCTTTCCCAGACTGGGCCTATCTTGCAGGTACCTTGGGGACCCAGTTCTGGGAAGTCCAAGAGCCCAGTCTTAACACCTGTTAGCCCTCAGAGAGCCTGATCCCATAAACCTGTCACTTTTCCCTCTTCCTGATCCCCAGGGAACCAGGACCCAAGTGAAAACCAATGTCCCAGCACCACTGCCTTGCTGCCCCCAACCCCCAAGGCAGAGATAATGTCTTTCTTTGCTCTCATGTGCCTTTTTCATACAAATACAAGATCTACCGTGGTGGAACAGGTTGGAGAGAAACCGAAAAGTCCTACGAGGAGCCTTCCTGATCAGAAGTGAGTAGGATGAACCTCACATGGTCTCTGCATTGCTCTTTTTTATCCCCCTTTCCTAGAGAAAGGGCCTGGCCAGAGGACTCTGCCCTCCCCTAGGAACCCAGGGCTGGAGATGTGGCGAGGAGAAATAAATTCAGGAGAGGTAAGAGCTTGCTTCAAGAAATTAGCATCCCTTTGCTTCCAAGCAGAGCACCAGCGATGCTGATACATCTTTTCACCAACTCCTACCTCATTGAACTCCCCCTTTTGCCACATCCCTGTGGTGTGCAGGCCGTTTCCCCTGTTCTGCAAGGCTGCCATAGTCTTCCTCGTTCACATCTCATGTTATCAAGATTGGGCCCCATTCATTTGTGCAAACCCTCCCCCATAACTGTTCTGAGTACTAAGGATGAACCTTGTACTCCTCACTTAGGGGAGAAAGGCAGCTCTTTTAAGATACCATAATGTGGGTATACCTTCTTTCAACAAGATTCTCCTTGGCATGTAAAGCTGCTAGATACCTCTTATGCCCTCCTCTCTCCCCTTTTCTCCAGGGAATCCAGCCTGCCTATGGGCCTCAAATTCCCTTCTGTAATATCTCCATCTGCCCCACAGCCCTTTCTTCTCATATAAATACCCCATTACTACGGTGATTCATAATATAAACCAAGAAGAGAGTTTTCTAACGGTAGTCACGGCTCTGTGCCCGTGATTGTAAACATGGATCACTTTTGTCCCCCACAGTCCTCTGCCCCTAGCCCTGCAAGTTCTACCCACTTATCCCCTGCCTCATCTTACTCTCCACCTCTCCCTGCTCCCAAAACAAGGAGAATGTTAGAATCCCTTCCTCTCTTCTTGAGTTCCAGAGAGGGCTAGGATGTGTGTGTTTATGTATTGCTTTTGTGGTCTTTATGCTTCTTTGCTCCCCCACTCCCTACCCTGGCTCCATGCTACCCTTCCAGATAAATTACAAATAAGCCACTAGCAGTGATTGGCCCACAGAGACTAAGGGTGGGATAATCTCCTGATTAATGCACCCAGGGGGACAGCCTCTCTAGCCGGTTCCCTTAGAGTTCTGTTTCCATCTCATGGTAGAGAAGAACCTAGAATAACCCTCAGAGTGGGTTGTCCATAGAGTTTTCAGCACATGCTCTCTCTACATCTCTTTTCTCTGTGAGCCCCAGAAAGTCTGCACATAAGAGGTCTAAGGGACCGGTGTTCTCTTGCTTTGTCAGAAAAAGGGCTTTGGAAGGACAACCTAGGGAAGAAAAGCCACACCGACAGTGCATTGTGATGGCTAGACAGGATGCAGGTGGTGCAGGGCGTGTGTGTGTGGGGGGGGGGGGGTGACAGGCCAGGCATTTGTCCTTCAGGAGCCAACAGAGCCTCTGTTCCCGGGGTGTGACTGCAAGGGTGCAAAGCCCCCCTGGCCCAACCCACCTACCTGAGCTGTGGTCCCAAGGCTCAAATCCAGGAAGGCAAAGCGGGGAGGAGAGTACTTGGGTTCTGTGGTCACCCAGGAGCACTATTCCCTTTGGTGTGCCACACAGCCAGAACCCAGACGCTCTCACTGCCAGCCCAGCTCTGCAGGCCCTGGACTCAGCAACCCTGCAGCTGACAAGCTGCAAAAGGACCCAGGTGTCCCAGGTTCAGATTTGACCAGCTGTAGCCTGCCCCAGGGGCCCCTTCGAACAGCTGTCCCAGAAGAACCTCTCCAGCCAGTTACTCTTGCCAGGCCTCAGGTCTGGCTCCAGGGCTCACCCCACCCTCCCCAGCTCCTTTCCCTCCCTCTTCCTTCCTTTCCTTCCTCACCCCCCCCCCCACAACCTCCCCAGAGCTTCACCTACCCAGGACAGCCCCACCCAGCTGTGCAGGGCACATCCCATAATAATCCTTCTCCTTGCTAGCCCCCACCCCCCCAAAAAAAGAGAGGCGGCCATCCCATAATAGCCACCCACAAGAGACATTCCGCGGTGACCGCCCCCTCCCTGCAGAGCTGCCGGGAGCAGCCATCCCATAATAGCTGGCCGCCTGTTTTACTGGTTACGGCTGTGGAGGGAGCTGGAGAGGAAATGGAGGGGAGGGGGAGGGGAAGAGGATCAGGGGGCCCCCACTTTGTGGAGGGAGCAGGGGGAGGAGAGTGGCCCAAGGGGATTGGGAGCCAAGGGGACACTGTGCAGGTGGGAGGTGTGGTCCACTGGCCAATACAACCCTGCTTTAGGGCTTTCTCCCCATTCCCCAGGGGCTGCCTTTCCCCCTGAGCACCCTGGAGGTGTCTGCTAGTTAGGGGAGATGCCTAGGATGGGTTGAGGTGCTCAAAGTGTGTGCGTGTGGGGGGTGGATTTCAGGTGTTCCCCTTGGGCCGTTTGAGAGAGAAGGCAGACCTTAGAGAGGATGGCAAGAGAGTAAGGAGTGGGGGGGTTGGAGAAGAGCTCCTCAGGCCCTCCCCATTCTGCACCACCATCCCATAATAATCCCCCCAGCCCCACTCCCCCTCCCACACACGACATCCCATAATATCTTCTGGAGAAGCAGTCCCCGCAGTAGGTACAAAGAGCTATCCCATAATATGCTCCCCACCCCCACTCGCCACCCCCCCAACTTGCCCCCCCCCTCAGTCACATGCAGCCGGTGCCATCCCCCGCTGCTCCCCCCTCTGGCCACCGAAGGCCTTGCCAGCCCATAATACTCTTGCCTCTGGTCGCAGGAGGCCTCCAGCCCATAATATTCCCTTCCACCACCACCCCCCCCTTCCCGCCCCGCACCCCTTCCTCCCGCCTCCAGTTGGATCCGGGCCTCACCAGCCCATAATATTCCCCAGTCTCCTAAGGCTGTTCTAGCCCATAATACTCTCCCTGTCTCCTAAGGCCTCTCCATCCCATAATACTGCCAGACGCCTGACCTGTGGGCCAAACCCCAGCCCGTTCCACACATCGAGGCTGTGTCAGCGCCGCTGGTCTCCCTCCCTGTCCCTCCCTCCTCCCTCCTCGGAGCTTTCCCTCCCAGGCTCTCTCCCGCCCTCCTGCCCTAGGCCCCCCTCCCGGCCCCACCCTGTCTGGGCCCTTACTTCCCCTCCAGCCTCCTCTCTTGCCCTTTCTCCTTTGCTTGGTTCTTCATCCCATGCCCCCTCTCCTCTCCCTTTCAGGCACTTTTCTACCCACTCCTCTGTCTGTGGGATGGACATCAGGCCTAGTGGGGAGAGAGTGCCCCCAGAGGGCAACAGGCCAGTCACTGCCCCTGAAAACTGTCTACTTGACCTAGCACCATGGAAACTTGCCCAGCCTGCCTTGCTCACCCATCCCCTGGCCCTGGTTTTAATCGCTGGCAGAGCTCTGTCTGGGTGAGGATTCACCTTGAAGCCCTTGCTGTCTTCCAGAAACACTCCCCTTGGGCATCACAAACAGACTTTACCGGTAGCATCTCCTCCCCACACTCTTGTTGAAAAGAGAGCTCCCCCTTTTGGGATTTCTCTCAGGTGCCTTTCCAAGGTGATATCATTGACCTCACAGCAACCCAACAAGTAGATACTATGATCCCCATTTCACAGAGGAGAAAACAGAGGTTCAGAGAGTTGAAGTAACTTGCTAAAGTCACATTGTCAAGAAGTGACAGAGCTGAAATTAGTACCCGCCCAGGTTGGTTCTGAGAGCCTTTGGGATTCCCCAAGACCCGTGTGAGAAACTTCACTTTTCAGTGTTATCTTCTCTGGAAAGGATATAGCATGGTGAGAGCTACCCAGCCTCCCTCTGTCTCCAGGGTCTCCTGAAAGAATGAAGAAGGGAGGCCTGTGGTGTGAGATTTAACCCCCCTCCCCATTTCCTCCATGGGACCCCAGGAGGCAACCCAGTGGGGATTTCCCTCAAGACGGTTCAGGGCTAAGAGAGAAGCATCCCTGCCCCTTTGTGACCCCTTACCTTGGCCCTGGTTCTCCTGAATTTGTTCTATTTCAAGACCAATGATTGTTACTCTTCTCCAGGCTATTCTCACCATGGGGAGGGCCCATCCTACAGAGGAGGCAGACTTTGAGGAGAACCCGGGGGAGGTCTCCTCTTCAGCTTAGTTGGTGGACAAGCAGGAGGGCGGCCTCAGAGATGCTGGGAACCTCCCGGCTAAGGGAGGAAAGTCATGGCCAACAGCACCCAGGCTGAGCCACCCGGCCTGGGTATGCCACCAGCTACCTACTCCCTTCTAAGGCCTCGATGGGGTGTGTTTCGGGGCTTGACACAACTGGAACCGCGAGTGAGCCCAGTTCTCTTGTGCTGACAGCTGCATGGTGCTCTGCGCAGGAACCTGGGGCCGGTGGAGGGGGAAGGGGCAGGTGGGGGGGTAAGTGGGTTAGGAGTATGGAGGAAGTAGTGGAGCAGAGATGGTACAGCAGATTCAGGGTGAGAGAAGTAGCTGGGAGAGGTGGCCTGGGTGAGGAGGAGAAAGGAAACCAGGGAGGGTGGATGGGACAGAGCCAGGGGGAGAAGGTGGGGAAGCCTCAGGAAGGGGAGATACGGTGGAATGTACTGCAAAGAATAGGAGTTCGGGAGCCAAATAGAAACCTCTTCCTGGTTGTGTGACCTTCAGACCGCAGCTTCTCTAGGGTGCTTCATCTGTAAAATGAGGATAATAATCGTCCCTAACTCAGAGGTTTATTATAATAATCAATCACTAAATAATATAATCAATAGTGGAGATCCCGGCATAGGGAGTATTTCCAAAACTTGTTAATGCTCTTCTCCCTCCATCTAGGATGTTCTCATTTTCCTCATTTGGATTTTCCTAAACCACAAATGGGGTCACTCTAGGACGCGGGGTGAAGGCTCTGGATCCCCTCACAGCTCGGGTCTGTCCTACTGTCCCTCAGTAATTGGAGAATCCTGTAAAAATGGCAGTGGTTGGCTACAGGTGTTCTTAAACTTCCCCAGCCTGTTACTTGTCAGCTTCTTCTGTTCATTCCCCCTCTGCCTGCCATATCTCCTGAATCTATTCCTGCCTCTATCTCGTGATAGAAACTCTTTGGATGTACTGAATGCGCCCCCAGAGCTTAAACCCCAGAGATTTCACACTGGAGGTGGCCCATTTCCATCCACCTCCACAGGCCATGGTCACACCTCTCCTTGACAATTTTAACAGCAGCCTGACCAGTCTTCCTTACCCCTTAGACGCCCCGCCTCACTTCCCTACCCCACACTGTGTGTCAGAGTGAGCAGAACCTCACTCAAGAACCTTTAGGGGCTTCCCACTGCCCACGAAATTAACTGCCAACACCTTACTCTGCATTCTTGCATCCTCTGTCTTGAATGGTAATTGTTGCCTTGTTCTGTGGTCCCCCACGAGATAGTAAACTACTCCACACCAAAATTCAACAATTCATCATTCAACAAATATTTATTAAGCACTTCTTTTGTGCCAGGAGCTGTTCTAGATGCTGGAGATACATCAGAGAACCAAGCAAACAAAAATCCCTGCCCCCAGGGACCTTACATTCTACCTGGGGGGGAAGGGGTGGAGAAACAGACAGGAAACTATAAAAATTATAAAAATAAATAATTATATAGTATGTTAGAAGATACTTGCTCTGTGAGCTTTCATCGCTTTGGAATTCATTCACATATCAGAATATAAAAATACTCAAGTAATTTTTAAAAACTGTGTTCAATTCAGTTTGGATAGGGCAAAGTTCTGAGACTTTGGACTACCACCACGTTTTATGCTCCCGGGGCATGGGTCTTGAACCCAAGGATGAAGCAAGATGGAGCAGGTGCTAACCATCAGGCCTCCTCTAGAGCTACAGGAGGGCCTGGCCTGGGGCTCTATCCTCCCACCAGATGGTGGAAGGCTCTACTTGAAAGCTATCACTGAGGAATCTGGGTCAGTTCTCCGCTTTGGCCACCAGGGGTCATTTTACCCCTGTAAATCACCATCTGGAGCAGTTCCTTGAAGACACACAAAAGGCTTAGTCCAAACTAAAACACGTAGAGACACACACGGGGAAACCCTGACAGTCTCTCTCTCTCTCTCTCTCTCTCTCTCTCTCACACACACACACACACGCACGCACATCATTGAGAGACCTAGCGAGAGAAATGCATACAGGACACACGCATGGCAGCAACTTCCTCACTTACGCAGAGTCTCGAGATGCCAACTCTGCAACCCCTCCCAGCCCTACTCCGGTAACGAGGGAAGAAGGAAACAGTAGGTGGCCCATTAACCAGTCTTCCATTTCCTTGCCTCCAGCTTGCTACGAACAGACAGCCCGTTCCTGTCTTTCCATTGCACTCTTATTTCCCTGGAAACTTCTTTCCTGGCTGTGGCAACAGTCCCCTTCTCCCTTTCCTGGGAAGGAGAAGCCCCACCCCTCCTCTGCGTGTTTGGTGAACTGTGCCTAGTTCACCCCCACCTCAGAGCCGCCGCCCCCGCACCAGGAAGCCCAAAGTAATGTTGCATTGGGTGTGCAGCTCCTACCTGCCCCTGCACACCCTCAAGCCTTTGGGACTACAATTAGCAATTGATTTGTGGAGCGTTGCCCTGTCCCCCGCAGTAATAAAAAACAATGTATACATATGCCCTGGGAAGAAGTTACACGGGAACTCTAATACTGACTCTTGGAGGATGTCCACAAGGTCAAAGTTATTTTCGGAATACTACTACTCCCACTATGTTGTTTGTCCTTTGCAATCTCCTTACTCACAGGTATACGGTGGAGTTTTCCAGAGGCTTCCTGAAGTGTGATGACATTATTGCTCTCACAGCTAATGGAAGGTGTGCTTGTGTGTTTCTCTTGTTACGACTTACGAGTTTTTATTTCTAATATGGTTAAGTATCAAAAGAATAAAGTATAAGCAAAAACTCTTTGGAATCCTCGATTTTTAAGAGTTTGTAAAAGGGTCTGAGAACAAAGTTTGAGAGCTGCTACTTTAGTACAAAGAATGTTCTCCTTAATTCTAGATGAAGCGCCAGAGGCAGAGAGAATTCAGGACCTAGAATGGAGGAGGTCTCGGAAGTGGGGTGGGGTGGAAGGAGAAAGGACACCTAGAAAGGGCTACAGGGACCAGACTCTGGGGAGAAAACAGCCCTCTAACTCACAGTTCTATCCTGCCCCCAACCACCCCATGCTGCGTGTCAGGTCTAAATTGTTACAAGTCACTAACCAAGAATGAAACCGATTCTGTCTGTATCCAGTAAACTCTTGTATCCTGCCTCCATGCTGGGCAGGGCAAGGCCAGGTGGAAATGAGAGTGGGTGGCACCGGAGGCACTAAGACTGCCGTGGTTGGTCTAAATCCAGGACACTCATTTTCTGCTCCATCTACCAGCTCTCCATAGTGTTTCATGCCCACACCAAGGGCACGTCATCCAGTTGTCTGCCTCTGCACTGGGGAAGCTTACTGCATCACTCCCTCGGGACTGGGGAAGGGATCTGCCCCATGCTCCCCATCACCACCAAAGCAAAGAAGGCATTTCCACCAGCACTCTTCCTCCCCTGTGCCTCTGGCTCCCCGCACTTTGTTCTCTCATGCATTTATGGGCAGCAGTTGCCACCCAGAAGTCCAAGTGCCCAATTCACTTCCCTCACGTACACACCCTGTGAGCGCGCGTGTGAGCGGCGCGGGGCGGGGCGGGGAGGTGGGGGTGAACACACAGGCACGCGACCGCACGATGTGCGTTCAGAGGGCCGAGTCCTCGGGGCGCTGGGTCAAGGGCGTCCCGAAGTTGGAAGGCCCAAGCAGCTCCTGACTGGCGGTAGCCGGACTGGTGACGAGGGTGCTCTCGATGGGCCGTTCGGCAAGCGCCCCCTGAGCCCCGTTGGTGGCCAAGGTCCTGGCGCGGAGCGGAGTGCCCAGGCCGCGCAGGGTGTTGCGGAAACCCTCGGCGCTGAAGTAGTACACCAGCGGGTCCAGCACGCAGTTGGCGCCGGCCAACAGCACCATCACCATGAGCACCTGGCGCACCCGGCCGCAGGCCTGGCCGCTGGCCGCCACCAGGTTGCCCCGCAGCAGCCCGTAGGCCGCCAGCGTGGCGTTGTAGGGCACGAAGCACAGCAGGAAGATGACGAGGTTGGCCAGCAGGAGGCGCACGGTCTTCCGCCGCCGCTGGCTCCGCGTGGCGTCGGGCCGCGCCAGGGTCCAGAAGACGCGACCCGACGAGTAGAGCATGGCCGCCAGGGGCAGCAGGAAGCCCAGCGCCTCGGCCAGCAGCACGAGCGGCAGCAGCTTGCCCTTCCACAGGTTGTCGCCGAAGCTCTCGAAGCACAGGTGCACCTGGCTGCCGTTGTAGCTGCAGGACGAGGGCCGGTGCACCAGGACGGTGGGCACGGCGAACACCACGATGAGCGCCCACACGCCCAGGCACAGCAGCCGCGCCACGCGGGGCCGCCGCAGGTGGCGCAGCCGCAGCGGGTGCACGATGGCCGCGTAGCGGTCCACGTTGATCAGGGTCAGGAAGATGCAGCTGCCGTACATGTTCGTCTGGAAGATGGCGCCCGCCGTCTGGCACAGGAGGTCGGGGAAGGACCAGTAGTGCCGGGCGTAGTAGGAGATGCGCACGGGCAGCGAGAGGGTGAAGAGCAGGTCGCTGGCCGCCAGGTTGCACATGTACACGCTCACCACGGAGTGCACGCGCAGCGCGCGCAGGAACACCCAGAGGGCCAGCGCGTTGAGGGGGAGCCCGGCGGCCAGCACCAGGCTGTAGGCCACCATGTGCAGGCGGTGGGTGCTCCGGTAGTCAGGGCACGGGGGAGCCAAGCTGGAGTCGTTGGCAGAGTCGCTCAGCATCGTACCACCGTGTGAGGAGGAGCTAGGCGGGGGGCATCGTCGGGCACGCTAGGGTGCGGGCATCGTGTTCTTCTCCGCGGTGGAGCCCGGAGGCTGCGCAGAGACCGTCGTCGCCGCGCCGGCAGGGCATGGGAATGTGGGCTATGGCTGTCAGGGGTTGGATGCTTTGGGGCACCGCTTCATCAGCGGTGGAGACCTGGAATAGGAAGGCAAGCCGAAGTCAAGATTATGCGAGGACGGGGTAGAAGTCACAAAGGCTTATCTAGCTAACCTGGCTGGCCTCTTTGAGTCTTTTCTCAGCCTCAGATCTTTTCCCCACTTTCCATCCGGCCAGAGAGGCTTTCTGCAGTAAGACTACATCGCCCCGTGTTAGAGGCCCAGGCTCTGGAGTCAGACTACCTGGGTTCAAATCCTCGTTCTGCCAGCTTGCCTAGCTTTGTCCTCAGAAAGGTGACTTAATCTCTCTGAACCTCATCTTCCTTACCTGGGGAAAAAGGTGGTGGTTGGTGGTGGTGGTTTGGGGGGGGGTCTCCTATTTCACGAGGTTGTTGGATTAAATGAGATATGTGTCAAGTGCACAGGTTCTGCTAATAATATCTCTTCCTTTCTTCTACAGATGTTTACTGAGCTTTAGAAGGTTCCAGGAATGTTCACAGCCCTGAACAAAACGAAGGACTTGCCCCCATCTGCTTTACATTCCACTGAAGGGAGACAGATAATAAAGTGCAAATAAATAGGTATTATGTCAGATGGTGAGAAATCTGATGGAGCGCCTCCCCTGGAACTCCCCAGTTCTGCTGGCTCCCCATTATCTAAAGAATAAAGTTCAAATTCCCCAGTACAGTACAATATCTGAGCCTCACTTATCACATCCGTGGTCGCTCCTGTGTGGGCTGTGTTTGTGGTCAGAACAACCCAGGTTCAGCTTGATTGTTTGACCACTCTCTCAGTTTCTTCATCTGTAAAATGGGGATACTAACATAATGGGCTCTCATGGGCTGATCACACACCAGCATAGTCCTGCCAGGCAGGGGAAGGTGCTGTCGGTTGAACTTTTCCAGGTGCTCCCCGGGAGGATCTACCTAGGGAGCTTCCCAGCTGGGGTTCTGCGATGGAGGGAGATGGTGGTTTTTTAGTGAGGGCTCAGAGGGGACCCTAAGTCCAGAGAGTGTGGCAGTGAGGCAAGGACGTACCAAGGGCACTGCCAAGGCCACTGGAGAGAGCAGCCCCCGGCAGCCACAGTGCTCAGGCAAAAGCTCGTGGACAAAGGATATGGCCAGGAGATAGGGGAGCCAGAGGACAGGACATGGTCTCAGAATCCCACCCTCCTTAACGCCCTAATGCCACAGAAGCTACTCTTCCATCTTAACTCCCAAATTCCATCTTTGGGGGGTGGGTAAAATATACACAACATAAAATTTACCATTTTAACCTTTTTTTTTTTAAGTTTTTATTTATTTATTTGACAGAGACACAGCGAGAGAGGGAACACAAGCAGGGGGAGTAGGAGAGGGAGAAGCAGGCTTCCCGCTGAGCAAAGAGCCGGATGCGGGGCTCTATCCCAGGACCCTGGGATCATGACCTGAGCAGAAGGCAGACGCCTAACGACTAAGCTACCCAGACACCCTAACCATCTTTAAGTATACAATTCAGTGAGACATTAAGTACACTCACGATGTTGTGTGACCATCACTGCTACTTCCAGAACTTTTTCATCCTCCCAAACAACTCTATACCCGTTAAACACTAACTGCCCATTCTCTCCCCACATTCCCTCCAGCTCCTGGTAACCTCTATTCTACTTTCTGTCTCCAGAAATTTGCCTATTCTATTTGAATTAGTGTTTTCATTTTCATTGGGTAAACACCCAGTAGTGCAATTACCGGATCATAGGGTAATTCTATTTTTAATTACTTGAGGAACCTCCAGACTATTTTCCACAGTGGCTGCACCAGTTTGCATTCCCACCAATGGTCCACAAGGGTTCCCTTTTCTCCATGTTCTCACCAGTACTTGTTATTTCTTGTCTTTTTTTTTTTTTAGAGGGGGGAGGGGGCAAAGGGAGAGGGAGAGAGAGAATCTTAAGCAGCCTCCATGCCCAGGGTGGGTCCCAACACAGGCTCTATCCCACAAACCTGAGATTATATGAGATATGATATATGAGATCATAACCTGAGCCGAAATCAAGAGTCGGATGCTTAGTCCACTGAGCCACCGGGCGCCCCTCTCATCCTGGTTTTGATTTGCATTTCCCTGATGATGAGTGATGTTGAGCATCTTTGTCTGCTGGCTATCTGTATGTCTTCTTTGGAGAAATGTCTCTTCAGGTCCTCCGCCCATTTTTAAAATTAGATTATTGGTATTTTTTTGGTGTTGAGTTGTGCGAGTTGAATTTGCCTATCCCTCATTGAGTGGAATCATATAATAATACCTGTCCTTTTGTGTTTGGCTTCTTTCACTTAACATAAAGTTGTCAAGGTCCATCCATGTTCTAGTATGTATCAGAATTGCAATCTTTTTTATAGCTGAATGATGTATTTATATACATGTTTTGTTTATCTATTCATCTGTCCATGGTTACTTGGGTTTTTCCACCTTTTGGCTATTGTGAACAACGCTATGAACATGGGGTCCACATGCCATCTGAGGGAGTAAAGTTGTCCAGAGACCCTGAGCAATTATCCCAAGATCCTGGATTTTATTCCTCTTGAAAGGAATTTTTTTTTAAAGGGCGCCTGGGTGGCTCAGTCAGTTGAGCGTCTGCCTTCGGCTCAGGTCATGATCTCAGGGTCCTGGGATCGAGCCCCGCATCGGGCTCCCTGCTCAGCGGGAAACCTGCTTCTCCCTCTCCCCCCTGCTTGTGTTCCCTCTCTCGCTGTCTCTCTCTCTGTCAAATAAATAAATAAAATCTTAAAAAAAAAATTTTTTTTTAAAGATTTATTTATGTGAGAGAGAGAGCATGTATGTGCCAGCACGAGGGGGAAGTGGGGCAGAGGGAGAGAATCCCCAGCAGACTCCCACTGAGTGCAGAGCCTGAAGTGGGACTCACCGCAGGGCTCAATCCCAGGGCCCACCATATCATGACCTGAGCCAAAATCACGAGCCAGACGCTTAACCAAATGAGCCACCCAGGTGCCCCTTACAATTTTATTTTTAAGTAATCGCTACACCCAACGTGGAGCTTGAACTCATAACCCCGAGATCAAGAGTTGCACACTTCACCGACAGCCCACCAGGTGCCCCAGAACTGCTTAAATTCTTACATGGAACCAAGCTGTAAACCTGACTCTAAGTAAAGGTTTCTTGTGGGTTTCTTTGTTCATTTGTTCTCCCTTCAACCATGACTACCGGCAGTTTAAGACTTGTAAGAGGTTCAGTAGAAGAGTTAAAGGAAATAAACATTTCCTCTGCAAAATACCAATTTCAGGGGCGCCTGGGTGGCTCAGTTGGTTAAGCATCTGCCTTCGGCTCAGGTCATGATCCCGGAGTCTTGGGATCGAGCCCTGCATCGGGCTCCCTGCTCCGCGGGAAGCCTGCTTCTCCCTTTCCCACCGCCCCCCCCCACTTGTGTTCCCTCTCTCACTGTCTCTCTCTCTGTCAAAATAAATAAATAAAATCTTTAAAAAAAAAATACCAATTTCGGGGCACCTGGGTGGCTCAGTCATTGGGTGTCTGCCTTCGGCTCAGGTCATGATCCCGGAGTTTCGGGATCAAGCCCCGCACCGGGCTCCCTGCTCAGCGGAGTGCCTGCTTCTCCCTCTGCCGCTCCCCCTTGTTCTGCTCTCTCTCTCTCTCCCTCTCAAATAAATAAATAAATTCTTTAAAAAAAATACCAATTTCAACAACGAAAATCATACCAAATGGGGCTAAAACACGCTGAAAAGCAAGTAAGACCAGACTCTTTCCCTGACACATGCCCCACCTCCCATGCTTCTTTGCTCCAATCACACCACACTAATAATAATTCTGCACAGACCTTAATGTGTTCAGGACTCTGCTCTTGCACGTGTGGTGCAGGCTCTTCTGCTTGAAATGCCCTGCCTCCCATTCTCCAACTGGCCAAGTCAATCATTTCTTAGGACTCTGTGAAGCCTCGCCTGCCTTCCTCCCTCCCCACAAGGCAGATGTCTTTCCACTTTGTGCATGGTTCACCATAGGTGTCCCACCTGTATTGTAATTAGCTGTGCTTAGTCTACCCCTCCCGTTAGACTGTGAGCTCCTAGAGGGGAGGGGCTGTGGACTGTGACTGAGTCATATTTGTCTTCCCAGCCACTACCTCCATAAACGTTGAGTGAAAAGTACTAGCGATCATTTACTGACCATTCACCACGTCCCAGGGTTGTTTTTTTTTTTTAAGATTTTATTTATTTATTTGACAGAGAGAGACAAAGCGAGAGAAGGAACACAAGCAGAGGGAGTGGGAGAGGGAGAAGCAGGCTTCCTGCTGAGCAGGGAGCCTGATGTGGGGCTTGATGCGGGGCTCGATCGCAGGACCGCAGGATCATGACAGGACCCCGGGATCATAACCTGAGCCGAAGGCAGACGCTTGACGACTGAGCCACCCAGGCGCCCCTACATCCCAGGGTATTTTATACACGTGGTCTTTAATCCTTCCAACAGCCCTTTGAGGTAGGGGTTTATCCTCATTTTTACAGGAAAGGAAACAGAAAGCTCTAGAACTCTGTCAGCATTCAAATTCAGGATTCAAACCCAGCTCCTAGCTGCCCCAGGGCTGCTTGCAGCAAGAGTGGACGGTGGGATATGAGGATGCACGCTGCCCAGAGCACCTGGTCCCTTACAGCTGCCCATAAGAAATCTGGGCCCACAGATAAACTGTTACTTCCTTATTTGCCCAGTTAAAATATACACTTTTTAATAGCCCACCCTTTCTCGAACTTCCAACACTGGTAACACAGACTCATCTCGCTTTCACACACACACACACACAGGAATGCCCCTCCTTACGATGTCCTCTTACCTACTTAAGCACTTAAGTAGTT